TAAAAATAACAAACATATTTATTAATAATCTTCTAAGCTTTATTTCGTAATCAATGTATATTCTTAGAACTCATTTAATAGAATAAAATAAGATATAAAAAAAATAGAGACTTAAATAAGATCTTAATCTTCTAAAAATTTATATTTTTTTATTTGATCTCTTATTTTAAATTATTTTCAAACAAATTCTTCAACAATTATCGTTCATTCTCACCCATTATCTACTTATATGACATCTAAATTATCTCATATAATATGACATGAAATTTATATAAATGATATTTAGACTTTCATTTCCTTTATTAACTTACATAACAAAATAAGTTAATAAATTTACTAATAAAAATTAAATAAAAATAAAAAATAATTTTTAGGAGGGTAAATTAGAAAAAAATTAAATAAATAATCATAATTTTCTTAACTAAAAAATATAAATTAAATAAAAAATACGATACGATAATATTCATATTGTTATACAACATATTTTTTTGCCATGTGTTGTTTATACAACAGAAGACCTTGTTGCCCTGTCAACATGGACATGTCCAAGGCCCAAAATACAATGTATCACGGTGGGCTATAAGACAAGAAGTGAAGTGCATGCATCATCGTTAACTTCGAATTACAATAACCACATAACTGTTGTCTCTGAGGGGCCTTTGAAGTGTTATATGAGTGGGGGTGGGTTCTTTATTGGGTTCAAACATATTATACTGAGATTTGCTTTTGTGATCACTGATAAGGGTGCAAGGTTCATCGCAATAAGTATATCCAACGGTCCTTTTCTCCACAATAGCTTGGTTTTATATATGAATGAGACATTTTCTAGCAAAGTTGTTTTATTTTCTAGGATACAATTAATGTTTATATGTATCAGCTTTGTTATGGTTTAAGTTGAGGAAAATGAGAGTGATTGATGTTTATATTTAGGTGTGGGGGTCCTGCTATTTATAGCGGTGATTAAGCTGAGAGTGTTTTTGTGCATGCAATCATGCATGCATGCATGCAAGGTTCTCCACTTAGAGATAAAACGTGCAGCTGTGCTCTATTTTATACCATGTTTCTATACCTCTCTACTCAATGCACAGCTCAAGCATGCAATCACACATGACTACTCGTTACCATCCTTTGACCACGATAATGTTGAGGACACTGTAACCTACAGTGATTTTAATGAACAAATATTTGAATTTTCATTAATAGATCAGCTAATCAGTATTGTAAACCATGGGACTTTTCCTTTTTGAAAAAAAAAAGGCATTGAATGGCTTAGTTGATCACGTAAATTATCACCATAATATCTATTAATATAAAGTTAACAGTGATAATTATTTTATGTATAAAAATATATAAAGTATTTTCTTAATAAGGCCATCATATAAATTACTTATATTTAATTAAAGACCATTCGAGAAAGTTAGCACCCACAAGTCGCTGCCCCTTCCTTACAATGCTATCCTGTTACAAGCTGCAAGCTTTTGAAGATAAGTTGAACATGCATAATCTTGAATTACTACATCTAGGGTCACACATTTAAAATTCTATTTACAAGAATTTATAGAAAATTATGAAAATATTTTTAATTTTTAAATTTATTTTAATAATTTTTCCTATAATTTATTAAAAATTTATTTTACTTTATATTAATATATTTTATAGCTGAATTTATAATATAAACTATTTTTATACAATAATTTTTTAAATAGATATTTAATTAAATTATAATTCAACCACGTTATCTTTAATACTGTAAAAAAAGGTATAGTCCCTGCAATAATGAACCTCTCAACCGTTTGTTCGATATATCCAAGACTTCTTTTGGCACCATCTCATCTAGTAATTGGAATTAAATGCCCACCATCACTCAACTCCACAAAATGTTGTAGTAACGATAGTATTAATTCATTAGATGCATTGAAATTCCGTATATTAATATTATTTTATTAAAAATTATATAATATCATTGATTTTAATGTATTAACAACATTAAATATTACAGTTTTTATTAAAAATTTATTATGTATTAATTTTTTATCATATATTTTTGGCATATATTAAAAAATTATTGTATAAATATGTTGATATTTTTTCAAGTTACGAAGTAAACTTATTCTCTAATGTTAATCTCACTCTCTGGCCGACACCCCATCCCCAGCTCCATATAAGAAAATGGCTTCTTGAAACTATGAACCAGAATTGATAGAAGTAGAGATATATCCATCAAACATCGATACATACCTAATTACCCTTTCTTTATAAAAAATCTATCTTTCCCCCATAGCGGTAAGATGATTGAGGTTATAAATAGGTTAATATTGAGTCATTTATTTGCAATGAATGATAATCAATCACATAATCAGAAATTTCAAATTGATAAACTCCAATATTTATGCCCATTTGTTTGGGTTAAAAAAAGCCAAAATAATTCAAAACGTACCAATTAATATATAATTAGTCTAGCAAGTGAAGCAATAAATGAAGGATTAATAAACTATTCATAAAGCATGGAAACCAAACTTGTGAACAGGAATAAATATATCAAGCTGTCTAATACAAACTTATAGACTTAATTTTAAATTTTTTAAAAGACTTAATTAATTAAATAAGCTAAATTAAGTTTAACAAAAAAAGTTTATTAGACTCACTAGAATAGCTTATTTAAAATTCATAAAATTTATGATAATATATTAAATAATTTTATATAAAATATAATATTATATTATATTAAATAAATATTAATTTGTATTTATGCTGTCTGAATTATATTTATTATTAGTTTGTTTTATTTATCATCTTTTTGCGACTGTATTTATATTATATATAACCCCTTTTTTATTATTTTTTTAAGTTAACAAAAAATATTTTTTAAATTAAAAATAATAAAATATTTTTATTTAAAAATTTCAATACAAAGTAAATTATTAAAAATATTAATAAATCAAAGTAGAATGCAAATAAACTTAATAAAAAAACTTATGACAAATAATAAATTAAATTTAAACTTTAAAATTATTAAATAAGTCATACCTATTTAAACATAATTTAAACATAATTACATCCCTGATTATGAACTTATGGAATGATGCACCTTATGCCAAAAGATATTTATTTCATTAATATCGATGTAAATAGGAATGTTTATCGGTGCTTGCTAAGATCCTGTGAATTTGAAGAGGTTTTCATTAAATATTTGTCATGTACTATTGTATGTCAGCAATTTTTGTCTATTTTTAAATATAAGATTATGCAAAATATTTATGTATAAGGATTTGTTCTAATAATAGTTGTCTTCTTCTCGTATTTTTTTTCTTGTACCATATAGAATTCTCATGTTTTCAAATTATTATTTGTTTTATTAATGATTTATTATTAGTTTATTGTTGAAGATTGTCTTTTATTCCTTTTTCCTTAGCATCTATTGATGCCACCAGCTATATTTTGAAAGGTCCATGATTTTGGCTTCTTGCATTATGATCACAGTGCTATTCAATTTCTGAACTATGAGGAGATGCCACCACCACATGCATAGTGCTGAGGTTGATTGTGTTAAACTATAAATCAGAGGTATTGGTAATGATAGCCGTGAAAAGATGAATATTTTATAAATGCATTTAAGAAATACTTTCGATAAAGATATCTTTAATCTAAAAAAGCAGTTTAACAAATAAAAATGAATATAATATATATTTATTATTTTTTACTTATGGGCTATTATTTTTTTGTGCACATATTTTAAAAATGCACACAAAAACATATAAAAGTAGGAAAGAACATTGCTCAATAATAATAAAAGCATGGCAAACCTACCGTATGGCCTTACAATACTTATGGACCACTTCCTTAAACGCATCTGACATCAAAGGGATAGCTTTGATATCGAAGTCGGTGTAGCTAAACAAAATAGGTTTTATATTTGTTTGTGTCGATCTTTTGGATCATTTTTAAAATTAAAAATATCATCATAAAATCATTAAATTAGGTATTCTTCCTCTTTCAATTCATGTACTTTGAACGTTAAAATAAAGCATTAATTTCAAAAAAACAAAAATAGTAAAGTTACTTGAAATTAACGATGAAAATACCATATCAACTAAAAAAATCAATAAAGGTATTTCGTGTTTAATTTATATAATCCTAAATGTTATAACTTTTCAAAGAGCCAATAAAAATCTAACAGACTTATCCAAAATCAATATTAATCATTTTGGTGCAATATAAACCAATATAAAACTAGTCTTATAACATATGCAAAATGTCTAACGTGTAATAATTATAGTTGACTAAAATTTAATAGTAAAAACATGACAAACTCACAGCTGGAACCTTGTGGAACATTTTCATAAGCAACAAAATTTAAATATAATACTTTAAATACTGTTGGTGTTATTCTTCAACAAAATTAAAATTTTATTTTGATAATATGAATAATAAATTTATATTAAAAGTCGGTGTATTAGCATTAAAAGTTGACATACATTATTAAAATAAAACTCCAATTTTTATTGAAAAATAGCACTAATAATATTTATAATATTTTATTTTATTTTTTCTTTTACCCCATATATCCTTATTCAAAGCTGATGTATCTGATTTGTTAATTACTCGGTGCAATATTCTCGACTAAGCTAGTAAACATGACAGTTTTTTTTTTCTCTCTCTCTCTCTCTTGAGAATGTTAAATCCTAATTAATTTGAGTTTAACTTAATCTGTTTAGAAAGGTAATTTTTTCGACCACAAGTTTCTGATTCACATAACTCAAACTCGAAACTCAACTTAAAAAAAAAAAAATCAAAATCCTAGTGATTTGACTAGCAAAAATTACTTGAGACAACTTTAAATATATTTGAGAGCAAATATTTTTTAAAAAGAATATCATATATTCAGAAAAAACAAAACAAAATATCTCTTTGCATTTCTCTATATATAGTGACATTACCATACAACGACAAGCCAAGCCATCCACATCTAAATTCCTCTCACTTGGGGCATATCAAGGACAATGGCTATGTTTGGCTATGCAGTCATAATTGTAACATTCCTTAGCTTCCTAAACTTCTTCAAACGTAGATTCTATTGCAAATGTCCCCTCTTAACCGATTATCCTATCCTTGGCATGTTACCACCAGTCATCTTCAACTTGGGGCGGATCCATGATTTTTTCACTGATATTTTGAAACAAAATGGGGGCACTGGGGTGTTCACAGGACCATGGTTCACCAAAATGAACTATTTGGTCACGTGTGACTCTAACAACGTGCAACACATGTTGTGCAAGAGTTTTGACAACTATGTCAAGGGACCCGTGTTTCGTGAGATTTTTGAACCTTTCGGAGATGGGGTTGTCACTGCTGACTCAGAGACATGGAAATACATTAGAACTATGCTCCATTCTTTGATCAAACAAAGAAGGTTTGAAGCGTTTATTGATAAAACCATTCAAAAGAAGGTGCAAAAAAGCTTACTTCCAATATTGGATCGTGTACAACAACAAGGGACTGTGGTGGATCTTCAAGATGTTTTCAACAGGTTCACATTTGATAACATATGCTCTACTGTTGTAGGACATGATCCTAATTGTCTTTCCATTGATTTCCCTGAAGTTGCAATTGAGAAGGCTTTCAACGAATCTGAAGAGTCAATATTCTATAGACACACTGTGCCAAGCAGTGTTTGGAAGTTCCAAAAGTGGCTACAAATTGGTCAAGAGAAGAAGATGACAGAAGCAATCAAAACGTTTGATCAATTCATATACTCATGCATAGCATCCAAGAGAGAAGAGTTAAGCAAATGTAACAAAAGTGAGATGGCTGAAGCTCCCTTTGACTTGCTAACAGCTTTGATAAGTGAAGAGAGAGGACAAATGCATGATGCCAAGTTTCTAAGGGATGTTGCATTTAACTTTTTTGTAGGGGGAAGAGAAACCATAACTTCAGCTCTTACATGGTTTTTTTGGCTTGTTACTACACACCCTTTAGTGGAAGCCAAAATTCTTGAGGAGATCAAAGAAAAATGTGGGGCTAATGAGGGTCTTTTAGGCATGGAGGAGGTGAAAAAGCTTGTTTATCTCCATGGTTCTCTATGTGAATCTCTAAGACTTTTCCCTCCTATACCTATTGAGCGCAAGCAAGCAATTAAAGGTGACATACTTCCTAGCGGTCATCGTATTAATGCTAATACAATGATATTATTTTCTTTGTATGCAATGGGAAGGTTTGAACAAATATGGGGAAAAGATTGCTTGGAGTTCAAGCCAGAGAGATGGATATCTGAGAGAGGAGAGCTTGTTTTTGAACCATCTTACAAATTCATTGCTTTTAATGCGGGACCAAGGACTTGTTTGGGAAAAGATTTATCATTTGTACAAATGAAGATTGTGGCAGCAACTATTCTGCGCAAATATCGTGTCCAAGTGGTGGAAGGTCATCTTGCTACCCCGAGCCATTCAATTGTTCTTCTTATGAAGAATGGTTTTAAGGTTAGCATCGCAAAAAGAGAAATTTGATGGAAGAATATAGATTTGATGTGTACAAGTAATTGTGTGCATGTGTACGTGTTTATCAGCAGTGAATTTATTATAGTATAATAAGATATGCGGTTGTTGAGCTGGGAAAATATCTATGGAAATTACCCTTTTTAGTGAATTCGTGGATCAAAACTTTACTGTCAAATCCTTTATTAGAATAATTGAATATATTTCTTATTTTTATTGACTTGTCTCCATTATTTTATTTCAGTTAATTAGTATTGCTGAGTTTATTAACTATAAATTCTAGAATTTGTAGGCTTTTTAATTCTCGTATAAATGAGAGTTACGCATGTTTTAGTGCAGAACAAAATATATGTGCCTTTTTTAGAATAAAAAAAATCAAACATTTGCTTAGAATATTTTAAAAAAATTGAAGTGCCTTACCACAACGCAATTAAAGACTATCCACCTAAAAGAAAGTGCCCATTCAATTACTGCCCATCTCCTGCAAAATTTATTCTGAGTGGGAAATTTTGAAGATAAATTGTAGATACTGATAAGTAGAATTTGCATCATCTCAGCAAGTTGTTTTACTTATAATACTAGATAAATATCCATGATTTACAAGATAAATTAAGTGGTTGAATTCGCTAAATTGGGAATATTTAAGTGAAAATACCACCATCTTTTTACCGTAAATTTAAGTAACCACAGCAACAAAATTTCTGATTTAGAGTATATTTTCGGCACTACAGTCCCATTTCTGACTCACCATTGCCACCAATTTTGAGTTAACCATCATATATATAATGAAAGAAAAGATCAAACCTTCAAAATTTATGCTAAAAACATACTTTTTTTTATCATAAATTAAAAGTATCTCTCACTTAATTAGCACTCACCAATATCATCTCAAGATACACCTGTGAACGTGACATTATGAACCAACCAAAACTCGAATTTTAAATAATATTAGCTTAACTTCTTCCTCTGCTTCTCTTCCTCGATTATTTTTCTTTCTCACAGGCTTAGGCATGATGATATGGAATCTAATGGGCTAAACAATAATCTTTTGGGCCTGAAGGATGTGAAACTAGAGGGTAATGGGATAAAAAGATGGCAAGAGTCTAATATTTAGAGCTTATGTATCTGTAGGAAGCTCAATTCCTATTCAATCAAGCTGCACAACTTCCTTTCGTACAAAGTCTTGAATTTGCATGCACACCATGCTAAAGTCATTTTGAATTAAGAGATGAAATTTTGATAAAAAGAACTACATCATGTGATTAATCTTTCTATAGCCACTAAAACCACTTAATTTGAGTTAGTAAGTTCATGTTATGAAGATTTTCAGGTTTCTACATAAAAATAGAAAACTATATTGACTTAGGCTACTTCATTTTGAAATAGGGAATGACTCTTAAATCTTCTAAGTGCACGAATTCTCCACAGTAAATTAGAAATATTAATCTTTCTAATTCATCATGGTTCGAGTCAATGACTTCGTATGATAAATAATTCATAGTTTATCATACTTGTTTAAAATTATATTATTTTGGTAATAATCCTCAAATATAATAAAACTGTTTAAGAATAAGACATATGTGAAGTTTTTATATTAATTTTTCTTGTTCAGTAATCAGTATCATTATTTTAAATGAACTATATAATTTTAGTTGTTTTTCTTTAATTAATTAGTACTATGTTTGTAATTATACTTCATTATTTGAAGGGTCTAGTTAATAAGTGTCTTAAAGACATTAGTTAAAGAATTTAAAGTAAACATTTTTCATTAAAAATCACATTGAAATGAAATCAAGAGAGGTGCATTGATAATATTCTTTAATAATTTTTTTACTTGTAATTCCTTAATCAATGTTATAATAATACTAGTTAGCATTATCTTATTTGAGTATTAAAAAATTATATATACAATTATTTTCATCTCTTATTTTATTCATATTTTCAATATATATACATCTCTCTTTTTTTGTCCAATAATATATATATATATATATATATACATCTTAAAAATACATCGCAAAACTAAAAGGAGCAACTTTTGTGGTCCCAATTTCATTGTTCACAAATTTGTTTCTAAAAAAGGAAAAACTTTTAGTTGAATAGTTTTTGGTTCTCTTTTTCAAGTAAATGTGCAAGTTGTTTTTTGAAATGTAGGTAAAATGAAGTCATAACAATCTTTCATGACCAGTTTCTCTTTTCTTTTCTTAAAGGTCATCAATTTAATGACTAAATAATTTGTAATTTTGTATACAGTAGGTAAGTGTTACTATTACTAGGATCTTCGCATGAAAAAGTCTAAATAGCACTGAGATTAATTATTACAGGTTGAAAACTACGAATGACAACTCTGAATTAATCACTTAAACATTAGTAATCAAATCTTTACTCCTGCAAAACGAGCATGATGACCTTCACTCTTTCTACGGTCAAATCAATTATTCATATATGCTAATCAAAACTCGGTAGTGCCAATTAAAGTCAAATACAAAGCTTTTTATAATTGACTTTCTTGATTTAAAAATATATATTATTAATCATTTAAGTAGAATATGTTGTTTTATATTTAGTTCATTTTTTTCCATTTCATTTGTTTTTATTTCACTTCAATATCCAAAGGGTCGCTATGGCAGAAATTCTCTTTCTGTATTACTACTCAAAGTTGCATGTTAAGGGTCGGCAAAACGTGCTACTTAGTACGTATACGGACACAGATTGGGTTTTATTAGGTTAAATTAAAAAATAAACTTTTTATTTAGATTTTAAAATAGAGACTTAAGCATGACTTAAATCTATATTTTGCATTTAAATAAATTGATTTAATTCGAATCTGATTCAGAAAACTCTGGATGGGTCAAACAAACAAAAATTAATTTGAACCCAAAATTACAATGTAATTTTTTTAATTGAAATAGTAAGTTATATTATTTTATACAAGTTGTAGTTTTTTTAATTTATATTTAGGACATAATGAATTTTTATCAGAAATTACAGAATATTACAAAAATCATTGTATTGATAGTGTTAAATAATAATTTTTAATAAAATTACTATTTATTTATTTCTTATTTGTGTCATAAGGCACATATAAAAAACAAGTATATTGACTTTGTATTAAAACTAAATAACTATAAAAATACAATTCAAAAAATTTACTTTCATGTATTTTATATATATATATATATATATATATATATATATATTATTTTTTATGTGTATAAATGATGTATCAATAGTTAATTTTAAATTAATCTAAACTTTTACCTACATGATTTAGGATAAAAAATTAATCTAATTTTTTGTTTTAAGATAAAATTATCTAATAAATAATTATTAAATGATGTAATTAAGAGTGTGTTTAAGGGCCAGAAAGAAAGGATTATGTTTCTCTCGTATTTGGTGGCATTTAAATCCCATGCAATGCTTTGGATATTCAGTAATTGATAGTACCAATCTCTGGAGCTGTTTTGTGTTAATAATGCAGATGTTGGTGACATTTATAGTGCATAGGAACTCTGAAAGAGCATTATTTATTGGCCTTTGAGGAAAAATAGTTGGCTTGAACTTTGGTTTGAATGTGTTGTGTGTTGGAGCTTAATTGGGTCTATATGGTACCCACATTCATTTTACTAGTTTTGGGCTTCACTATTTCTTGTACACATTCTCGTTATTTTCTTTAATTAATTTAATTGGCTTTTCAAAAGTAAAAAATTATTACTTAATAATAACTTATCTCTTTTTTTAAACTTAATTACTTAACCTGTTAAACACGTACATGTGTTTTCTACAATTTTTGTTTTACCCTTTTTCATACTGTATAGTGCCGCTTTTTTTATATATACACAACATTTTAGTCATGAAAAATAAATTTTAGTTAAGTTATTTTTCAATATTTATTTTTATGAAATTATATTCCTCATTAACAATTAATTAACTGCATACGTATATACGAGCATGTGTGTGTAATTAAGTTGTATATTGCACAATAACTAGACCTTTTGTTATCCTCAACTTCAATGTTTTTCATTTTTATTTTTAATTTTAATATAAGTCAAGCATGCCGTCTATGACTAAGCTATGCTTCCAAGTCCACTAAAAATTCTTTTTACATTCTACATAGAAGCATTTGTTTATGTAAGGTCAATTTTCAGGTAAACAATATTAAATAAATTTTGTAATCTAAACTTTTAATTTGTGCCGAAATATAAAGTTCATTTACTATATATATATATTGATTCTTTTAACTTTTATTTGTGTCCATTCATGGTTCATCCCTTCTAGAAAGCATTAACACGGTCCATAAAAGTACAATTCAAATGATGTTGACTCTATTGTTCTAACCCAATTTTTTTTTTTTCCAATAAACATCGCTATATATTAGCACATGGAAGAAGAAAAATTAAATTAGTCATTACCAAAAAGGATTGATCTAAATTATAATGAATGAAGATTATCAGTATGTTTGAATTAGATAGTAATCAACATTACGGGGCATTTCTCCAACCAAACTTCATGTTTTTCTAGAAAAGTAAGTTCATCAGAAAATCAAATCTATATCTTGAAAAATTGGACATATAAAGTAGATGAATATCAGAGTAAAGAGCTAATAAAATCTTCTTCTTTTTTTCATGTCCTATACTGAAATTACGGCATAGTTGATATGACTGTACCAAATTATTACAAATCACTACTAAACATATCTTAACAGTGAATCTTTTATGTAGTTGGTTTAAACTTTAATTATTCCAAACAGTGATTATTTTTCAAAAGTGATGATGTGACCTTAAAATTTTTTTCCTTCTTAAACAAGATGAGATTGTAGCATAACATCCTAGTCCACGGCATGATAGCAGCAAGAAGAATGAAAAGTCCAAGGTGCCAACCACACTCACTCTCTCTCGGTCTCCTTTCCCTCTCATTCTGTCATCACCATTTTCCACCCAAAACCTTAATACAACAAGAGATTCATAAAACTCTTTCTTGCAGAGCAGAAAGAGTAAACTTACAGACAGCATAATAAGCATGGATTGCAAACATGGTTCTCATGATAACAACAATCCATCATATGTTGTTACCTTAACAATCACCACCCTCTTGTTTTTCTTCCACTCAGCACTATCTGATCCAAGAATCACAGAAGTGGGGCGCTACTGTGGCACACACAAAGCACCATCAAATGAAAACTACCTCCCAAGTTTCACTAAAGAAATGGAAAGGCTTTCAGAAGTTGTCACTAACCACAAGTGGGGCACTCACTTTGAGAACATGTCAACTATTCCCATATATGGTTTGGCACAATGCTTTCAAGACCTTTCACACATTGATTGCCTTCTTTGCTTTGCTGCCTTACGCACAAAGCTCCCTCGATGCATCCCTTCAGTGGCTGCACGCATTTACCTTGATGGTTGTTTCCTTCGCTATGACAACTACAGTTTCTACTCAGAAGACACTGACCCTTTAAGGGACACTGTGAACTGCACCTCCCAGTATGGTTCTGTGGTTAGTGAAGCTGAAAGGTTGAAGCTTGTTGAGAGTGTTGGCAAGGTGGTTGACAATGTGGTGAGGGTGGCAGTGACTGAGGGAGGAGGATTTGCTGTTGGAGAAGGTGAGGGTGCTTATGCCTTGGCAGAGTGTTGGAAAACTGTTGGGAAAAAAGGGTGTAGAGAATGCTTAAAGAAAGCTGGAAATGAGGTCAGAGGGTGCTTGCCAAAGAAGGAAGGGAGGGCCTTGAATTCTGGGTGTTATTTGAGATATTCCACTGTTAAGTTCTACAATCAAGGAGGTGAAGCAGGTGAAGGAGATGGTAAGAGTGTTACTCCCTCTAGTTTGAAATTTTTTTACTTGTCTTCCTGGCTGAAAACTGAAGTCTAAATGGGAGTTTTCATTATTTTTTTCAACTATACACTTTCAAATTCCTTTTGCTGTTTATAGAATGTATGATAAATGGAGATGAAAAGAAGATAGAGATGAATTTATTATTCTATCGTTGTGATTAAAATTATTTTCAACTTTCCTACACTGCTAAAACTCTTAGGAGGTTAGTTGGTGGCTAAACTTTTTCTTGATTAGATTCCTAGATTTTAGTTCATGGGTGGTGCTGTGTGAGAAATAAATTGTTCTTTTTCATTTCTGTCATTTTCTCATCAACCAAGCAGATTCATGTTAGTCATAATGTATATGTTAATGTACTTACCTATGTTTTCATTTTTCAGTGTCTTCAAGGAAACAAACCATCATAGCAGCGGTGTTAGTTTTGACTGCAGTTGTTGTGCTCTCTCTTGCTGCCTCTTATGTAGCCTTCACAAAATTATCAAACAGGAGAAAAAGTAATATTCTGAAAAATATTATTGTCAATTTGTCATGCCAATAAGATATATTTTCAAATTATTATTAGTTAATTTGTTCTGATGTATTTCTTTTTCTCCTGAGTCACTCAGAAAACAATTTTGTTCAGATTCCCACATCCTTAAAGAATTCTAGCTTGTATTACAAATATGAAACTCTTGAGAAGGCCACGGATTATTTCAGCACTTCAAGAAAAATAGGCCAAGGAGGAGCTGGTTCTGTATTCAAGGGGACTCTCCCAAATGGGAAAGATGTTGCTGTAAAGAGATTGGTTTTCAATAATAGGGAATTGGTGGATGAATTCTTCAATGAAGTGAATTTGATTAGTAGAATAGAACACAAGAACCTTGTCAAACTATTCGGTTGTAGTATTGAAGGCCCTGAGAGCCTCATTGTGTATGAGTACTTACCTAACAAGAGCTTAGATCAATTCATTTTTGGTAAGTTCCCCTTCTCTCATAGTAACTCCAAATGAAAAGATTGTACTATTTTTCCAGCTAATTTCTTAATTTCATAAAATCAACGAGCCAATATGTAAACTATGGATGAAGGGTACAAGACAGGTCAAATGCTTATATGTAGTTTATAGGAAGTGACACATTAATCTGCTTTGCAGAGAAGAACAAAACAAAGATTCTAAAATGGGAGCAGCGGTTTGACATAATTCTTGGAACTGCAGAAGGACTTGCATATCTTCATGAAGGTTCTGAAGTAAGAATCATCCATAGAGACATCAAAAGCAGCAATGTTCTTCTGGATGCGAACCTCATCCCTAAAATTGCAGATTTTGGCCTTGCCCGGTGTTTTGATGCTGATAAAACGCATCTAAGCACTGGAATTGCTGGAACACTGTAAGTCATTGATTTTAGCACATGATATCAATAAAAAGAAAGTGGCAGTGTTAGGTGAAAAAATCGAAGTTTTGATTCATTTCTCCAAGTCCATAGCATTAAGTTTAACAACCCCCCCCCCCCCGGTGGGTATAAAGAAACCATCCAAGACATAACCTTGAGCTGGTAATTAAAATTTGTCTAGTTTTTGTTTATTTCTTTAACAAGTTTCATGGTTTTAAATGACACTAGCTTTTTCATTTCTTGGAGCAGAGGTTACATGGCTCCTGAGTATCTTATTCGAGGACAACTCACAGATAAAGCTGATGTTTTTAGTTTTGGAGTACTTGTTCTGGAGATTGTAAGTGGCATGAAGAATAATGTCTTCCGTGAGGATTCTGGTTCCCTTTTGAATACGGTAAGACTAGTGCCTAATTGGCATGAAACTTAGGATAAGCCTCATTCATGTTCTTTAAAGCTAATGGATTCATATTTATGATTACCAATGTAGAATATTGTCCTTTTGGCATCAGGTATGGAGACTTTACCAATCAAACAGATTGGCTGAAGCTGTTGATCCTTGCTTGGGACATGATGTTCCTGCAGAAGAAGCATCAAGGGTGTTTCAAATTGGATTACTGTGCACACAAGCTTCTGCTTCACTGAGGCCATCCATGGCTCAAGTTGTTTGCATGTTAAGTAATTCAAATTTGAATGTCCCTATACCAAAACAGCCTCCATTTTTGAACTCTGGATTGGTAGATCAAACAGCTTCATTAGGTTTTAGCACAAACAGTACTTCATCAAATGCATTTAAGAAGATTGGCATGTCCTACAGCTCCTCAGAGTCTAGTACACGCAGCTTAGTTAGGCAATCAAGAAGTGACGAAACAATTGAGGAAGCTTGATTCCCAATAATTCCAAGGTTTTGAGAGCCCCACACACACAAAAAAATGATAGGGTAAACAAGTAAAATTAATGACAGAGAGGCTGCACATTAAGTATATAGTTTAACTAGTTTTATATTTATATTCGGCATGTAAAAGCTTGTTAGAATTCAGATTCAAAACTAGAAGTTAATGCTTAATTACTGGTCCTATATCCTTATCCATGCATCATGACTAGTATTATAAATATTAAAGACGAGTTTTACTTCCCAAATTTACTAATTATATTAAAGATGACATAGTTATATTAATAAAAGGAAATGTTATGATTAATAACATTATTGTACTAGAAACATGTCGTGCATGCAACATTTTGATTCCCTCCAAGCCCCACTTGTCTCTAATAATAAATGTGGGTTGGATACCATTATTATTCTGGTATTGAAGTGAAACAGGATATGGCTGCAGTATCTGATTTTCAAAATGACAATGATGTCGAGCAACTCGATTTGAACAACTGCTAATTCTCATTTCTGATGCAGCAGCTTGTGCGTTACTTGTTGATAGTATAAGTCAAATGTGTAGTTTGGCATGTAAGGCTTGGTTCTGCTCACTTATTATGAGTTATGACAATTTGACATAAGCACGGTCTAACCACCTTGACGGAACAGCAGGTCGAAATTGGTCAAAGTGAATTAGTTCGAGTTGCTTAAAACAATTCAAAATTAAAATCAAACCAAACACAAAAAATCTTAATTAATTTGGACCAATATTTCATCAGACACGTAAAAGGTTTGGGAGGAAAAAACCAGAAGTTGTACTTGCTTATAGGGCCAATGCTATTCTGTATCCTTCAAAAACCAACCAACACACCCACAACAAAACACTACTCTTAACCTTTAGACCATTTTTGCACTCGAGTGGTCAAGTGTAGGTACGTTTTCATTTTCTAAAATGCTAGTTTGGTCGATCACTGTGACTAATACTTGCATTTTTAATTCAACTTATTTTGAAGAAATACTAATTTACTTTTGTCAATTTCAGAAGAAATCATTATTTCTTCAAAAGTAATCTCAACAAGCATGTGCGTCGTCTTTCTAAAAAAACTTATACTAATAATGTCTTCAGAGGGTTTTGTTATTAAAGAATAAATATTACTACTAAATTAAATATTTTGTACCCCATAAACTTAATTTTTTATTTTATTTTTATTGTTAAATTCTAAACAAATGCTCTGTAAACACTGAGTTACACTTAACTCACTTTAAGATTATGCACAACGATAAACAAGATGTCATTAAATTCTTCAACTGTAAAAAATATAAATTCATTTTAATTATATACGGTTAATACTTTTTTTTCACTAAGCGAAGCATGCATTGAAAGAGAAAAACAAAATTAAGGGAAAAAAAAGTGTCAGTATCTTTGGTAGGCCAATTTAATTAGAAGAAATAACCAGTCCTGTCTAATTCATCATTCATCCACTCTAGCAGCCCCATTTTTTCTTCTTCAATGTATAACGTGATTTTAATAAAGCTACAAAGGGGACAAAGCCAACAGAGGATCGCCATATTCCACAACCCCTGAATGATTAACTTGTTGATCACAATAGAAGACTTGGGAAAGGGAAATCCTTTAAAATGAGAAGTACTTCAGTTCAACACAGAAGGACTGCTAAGTTTAAATTAGCAGACTACCTTGCTATGTTGATCTCACCAAGATACTTTCAAGTCTTTTTCTAACAAAAGAGAATGCTTCCCAAGATGATAAATGTGGCAGAGTCCACCAAGTACCAAGAATTCCAACCAAAGTAAACTTTTGACCTTTTACTTCAACTGCAGCCAAGCAAAGAAGCTTATAGTCCTGTACTTCAACTTTGCTGGCGTATAATGACTGTAGATAAAAGAATCACCAGATGTCAGATGCAAAAGTCACCAAGCAAAAGTGTTCCAAGTCGAGATCAGTATTCAGTGCATGAGTAAGATGTTATATGTCCTGTGTTTTGATGTTAATATACACATTACAAATTCACAGTTATGATATTTGTTCTACCGATGCAGAAAATCTAATATTAATATACATTATTGATGCTTAACATGCAAACTATACTGGGAATATATCATATTCCTTTTTTATGCCGCTAAATAAAATCTATACTGGTAATATACTTTTGAAACGGAAATCATATAATAGTAAATAAATAAGCAAAGAAATTTGGCAAATTATCAAATATTGTCAATATTGGATAATGTAAGGGTAACAAGGAAAACAGATACAGAACCGAGTGCGAGTGGATGACCTCAAGCAACAAATAACAACATAGTATAGTATCGTTGAACATGCCCAGTTAGTTTGCTGAAATACTTATGTGATGAAGGTGAAGTATAGTTTCCCCAATTTGCTTTCAGAAGACCACAGATAAATAACAACGCTGGTATAAACAATTGCATTAGCTTTTCTAAAGTGAGAAAGTAAATGCGTATCTACCATTCACATGAATTAAAGTTGCTCATAAACTTAACTCACTTTATATCAACGGTAGATACACTTTTACAACTTCTCACTTTAGAGGAACCAAATGCCTAAACAGTATATAATTCAGTTTTACAGGAATGTCAAAGAAAATTCAATCATTCCGTAACTTTATCATAAAATGATATTAGATATACAAGTAATATTAGTGAAAAAACTGAAATAGTTTATTAGATTTCCATACTAAAAACTTGATCAAATATAAGGGATGGTCATGCACCTACCTTTACTTTAAGAAATCCAGTTTCTTGGTGCATATATTGTTGGCACAACTGCAATATAAGAAATATAAATCAAAACGTTGTCAAGTAAAATAAAATCACATAAACACTATTCAATGTTCTAAAAAAATATTCAAAATATAAGAGACATTAGGTAAAGAATAAGGTCACAAAGATTCTTATAAAATTTACTTTTACCCAGTTTGAATAAACTCCTCAATAAATACTTGTAGGAGTCAAAAATTAAGTAGTAAAATGAATCAAACTCCTCCTATGAGTTAAAATCAACTTATGTTTTTCTATTTTTTTTTTTTAATTTTCATTTAACTTTTCTAAAATTTGATATGTATAAGTTATTTTTAACTTACGAGAGGAATTTCATTCATTTTTCATATTGATTTTTTTTTTCTTATAAGTACTTATCTAAAAACTTATCCAAATTGGGTCTTCGTCAAATAAAACTCAAGTGCTATTGAGAAAAACCAAGTAGAAAAATCTTAAGGAGGTCAGAAAATTTCTGACAGAGATATTCAGGTATATTGTGTTCTACGCTTTCTCAAACTATTAATGTGACATCTGACCTGATCGACAAAAATATAGACAGAGAAAGGATTGGGCTTGGTGCTGATGAGGAATAAGGTAAGTTTAATGAATAATATTGCAATTGGGTCATCCAAGTTTGTCAACACTGTGAGAAAGAAAAAAACAGGCAGCCAAAATTTCCTAGCCAATTTCCACAAGCAGTGCACATTTTCTTCCTCCTCTGAAAGGTACTGCGAGTCATGATCATCCACCAATGCATCCCCAGCTACTTGTTGCAAATAAAAAACGCTGGTTATTGAAAGAAAAATGGGAAAAAGGGTAGGGAGGACAGTTACTTAGAAAATAAACAGAAATACTTTAAGTACATATTACTAATCAGATATGCAGCTCACCATCCATGGCATGAGATATAATTGGCGCAGAAGCAATTGACACCCCTAAAATGCTTCCACTGCACATGTAACTGCCTGGAATATGCACCAACAACCCTATTTAACATAAAAATTGATAACATTGACAAATAATCAAAGGAATGTGCCAACTTTCAAGACTAGCATATTTCTTTTGTGTATCACTTCAAATTCTTACAAAATGACTCTTAGTTGATCACCATTCAATTCACGCACCGTGCTTCGTTGCCACACAAAAGAAACTCATGGAATCAAAACCATCACATATGTTAGCCTAAAGTAAAAACCCTGCCACAGCCGAAATGAAATGATACAAAAATAACCCTGATAAGCATAGAAAACTTCATTTCTAGATAAAGGATACAAACAAGGACTAGTTTTGTATGGTACAATTTCTATTCAACATTGCCTCTCTCTAGAAACTTAAGAACTTCTAGCAAAAACTAATAAACCATATTTAATATTATCTTATCAATTTCTAGTAGAAGGAACTTATGAAACCAAAACTTATATACAATCAACCCTACGTTTTCATCAACAAAATATTCACATTGAAAAAAATCAGTTTAAATTAAAATAAAACGATTCACCCAAACAGTGTATCTCAAAAGCTTGAGAAGTGGAACATAGAGAAACAGTGTATCTTCATGAAGAAATTGAACTGATGAATGGGGCAACAGCATAAGAAAAATAAAGTAACAGAAACAGTTAAATTTACCAGAAAAACGGAAATTACGGAGGTAGTTGGCGGCGAGGGATTGAAAAATGAAGGCGCGTTGGGAGAGTGAGAGTTTGAGGTTCTTCACTTTCAGTAGGGTTCTTACGGAAGCGAATTTCAATTTGTCGTAATCTGAATAAAAAATTCAAAACAAAATGATAAGAAACGAAGAAAGTGAAATCGAAAGCGCAGAAAGTGAAATTAGACGAAGAAGAAAGGGAAGAGTGGTACTGGCAGTGGAAATAGAAGTGAAGTGGTTCAAACGAAAGATTGAAGAATTAGAAGAGTGAGAAGAGACAGTAGCAAATCTAAATACATTTGTTAACTTCATTTTCTTCCTCTTCTTTCTTCTTCCTCTCTTTGCTCATGGAGCACCATTTTACATACCCTCCTTTATTTACAGTTTACATTTAAATTAACTCTTTTTTTAAAAAAAGAAAATAAAATGATGCAAAATCCAAATTTGAAATTAAAAATCTTAATACTAATCACGCGTATAAATATTAAAAAAAGAATACTATTATTATTGAATTGGTACCTATAATATAGATATTCAGAAATTGAACAAAATTACTTCAGATAAAGATACAATCTTCATAATTAAAAATTAAAAGACCACATTAAAGAATGCTAAATTAGTAATTAGGTATCACATTTGCTACCTCAAGAACGATGGTATAGGAAGGCTGTGAGCAGAAAATAAGGTTTTTTTATTAGTAAGTTTAATCATAATAATCAGAAAATAATTAGTAATCGTCCTTTTATAATTTAATCATTCACAAATCATGTTCCCGCAATTTCTCAACTTCGAGGTTAATAATATATTGTATTTATTTCTTAAAAAATGCTAACAATTACCTTTAAATATTGATTAAAAGAATTATAAAAAATAAAAAAAACGTGAAGGTGTTATTAACGTATCCCACTAAGTGTGTATAGTTAATACGAATGTCCTTTTGCAATATCTAGGAGGTAAGGTGGATTCTTTATTTATTTATTTTCTTGCTCAAATCTCGTAAACAAATAAATATAGAGAAAGATGGGTAGTTTCTTGATGATTTGGAGGAAGAAAATATAAAAGCAGCTCTAATCATAGAAGTCATGAAGGACCAAACAAGGGTATCAAGTTAAAGGAATTTTTTATTCCTCCTAGGATACATATTCTTTTCCTTAAAATAGTACTCCCTACTTTTATATGATTATTTCTCTTGATTTAATTTTTGATAAAAAAAAATTAAGGTAGCTGCAAAAGAACATTAATTGATCAAACCATTTCAATAAACAAATTCAACTTGACCACACATTAGGGATGCATTGTATAGTGGATAAGAACATAATGCTCACAGACGAGAAGATGCATGAGCACTCATTGAACAATCAATTTCATGTGTCATTGGCTACATTGGACACTCCAAATCTACTACTTCAACTCAATGTTTCACTACATTTCCAACTGAATTTACAGATTCTCTTGACTTTCAACCTCATCTACCTTTGTAGAAACAGCAATCAAATCAATTTAGTTTCACAAATTAGTAGAGCCTGCATTTTCCAGTCCCAGCACAAACTGAACACTCGTCAGCATCTCCAGCTACATGCTTTACGCAATGATTGATCCTATCATTCACGACATCCTGAAGCAAAAGATTGTTCAAATTCAAAATGACATGTATAAGGGAAAAACTTAGGTGCAATTCCTTAGGGCCTGTTTAGTTTTTAGAAATGTTTTCTGTTTTCACTTTTAATTACAAAACTATCACATTGTCTTCATTTTACTTTTGTTTTCTAAGATTTGTAAGGAAAACAAACCAGAAAATAAAATTTATTTTCGGCATTTCATGAACAAATCTTAGAAAATAGGAAACATAATGAAAAAAGAAACATTTCTTGAAACCAATCAGCCTTTTAACTGCTTTTAGTGATATTTTGGCAAACAAAATTAGAGTTTTACTTCAATAAACAGCACCCCTGGAAGAAACATAGTAAAAAATGAGAAGCAAAGTAAAAATTGACAGATTTAGTTGGGAAATCATTATTCAATCGGTATGGTCAGTTACGTCCTTAGATTTGAAATTTGCCAAAAGGCACATAGTCATGGGCTATCCCTTGGTTGAGGCAGTCCACCAAGCTTCATTCCTGAAGCAAACAAGCCATGATTCCTAAAGCACTCTTGGCATAGCTTAAAGTCACCTTGAAGCAGTATTGTAACACCAAAGGGATTTGAATTCATGCCATGCTATGATCAAATCAAGGCTACTAAAGAGAGAACCTTCAAATCATTAAATACACTCCAATTGATTCATCATTCATAAAAGGTAATTTTAAATAAAAACTTTTTTGACACGACATTAAGTCAAATCAAGCTGTTGGCCATGACAAAAAATACAATCAAACTTGAAAGATAGAACCAGAACAACTTAGTGAGTGCTTTACAAGTTCAACTCGGTATACTTAGTATTTAATAGAACAAATGTAAAAGATTTCATACCACAAGAAGCTCATGCAGTCCAAGGGGTGCAGTTACAATATATGACACACCAGGGTGCTCCTTTGCTGCCTCTGCACTCAAAGATGGAATATCCTGCAGAATATAGTGGGAGTTTAAAATTTTCACCTACTTTCAATCTTCATCAAGTCAAAGAATCATATTGACAATTCATAGACAAGTCAAAGTTCTTTTGCAGACCTACCTGACTCCAATGCCTTCCAGGAGAAAGAAAAAAGGGACTGACAATAATGCGGTTTGCACCTTGTTGAACGCAAGATTGGAAAGCGTCTCTTATTGATGGTTCTGCTAATTCCTGAAAATGTATAACATAATTATATGAAGCACCAAGAATTTTGGTCTATGGCTACAATGGTGTTATGAAGTGAAAAGTGAAAAAGGTGGCTAAATGAACAAAGAAAATTGTGCTAGTGCTATTGTTATCACTACAAGCCAAATCTAGCTTCCAGATCAAAATATGTAAAAAAGGGTAAGAAGCTTAACTCTATTTCCTCATGAAGACAAATCATGTTTTATTATACATGCCAAACAATTCAGGGAAAATGCTAAGAATCCTAACAATAGCAGCTCAAATATCTATCTACTATCATTCACATTCTATATATTTTCATGTTGTCTTTGTTAACTTAACATGAAGGAAAAACTCAACAGAATTCAAATATTACCATATGAGCAGGCTCCACAATCTCGTACCCGGTTTTATTCTTAAACATTTCCACAAATTCATCTGAGAATCAAAAGAAGACAACTTTTAGACATGAAATTAAAGCATCCCCAAGTACATAACAGATTTCAAAAAACTCATTAAAAAAACAATAATTAAGCATAATTTAACTTACTAAGCATGAGATTGGACTCTTTACGACGTGACCCATGATCCACAATTATGACTCCATCTCCACGACCAACCTCACCAGAGTTGCCTCTAAAGCCACCGTTTTGGGTGCTCAGACACAAAAACCTGCTCAAATTTGAGGACTTGAAGGGTACCCATCTCGGGTTTGTACCAATTTCACTTGCAGAAACACTGTAACAGCAACGAGTGGAAAAAAGAAGAAGAAAAAGAAGATTTTGAGATGAAGTATGCAATGAAAAAGAAAAAGGGTATTGGGGGAATCAAATTGAAAGCAGGAAGGGCAAGAACCTTTGGATTGGGAAGGCATGGGAATGAAGTGAGAGAGACTTCATCAGCATCGTTGACCAAAGTCAACACATGGGAAGCGCGATGGTGTGTGCCCCGACGGAGACTCCACCGGCGACGGTGAAAGAGAAGCAGAATCCCTCTGAGAAGACGAAAGATAATGGAATTTTCTTCTTTTGGTATGCGAAAGGTAATGGAAATTTTTAATATTGTAAACTGAAAAATAAATTGAAATATTAAATTATACAAACCACTTGTGTAACATTAAATAAACCTATATTTCTTTATTTTAATTAAAAATTGTTGTACAGTTAATTTTTAAAGTAGTTATTATGAACAAATAGAGATTATTAATGCTGTGGTGATTTATAATTAGATAATAGTGTAATAAAAATATTGTCAATTATTTAAATTAATTTTTTATTATAGTTTGTGTAACGTTAAATGAAATTATGCATTTGTATCATTTTTAATAAATTTTCATTATTAGAAACTATATTTCAGTGTTTTACGACATTATTTCAGAAGAAAAAAAATAGCTATAACAAATTTAGTGCAAACCTAGACAATGACACGCTTGAGGTGGTTCTTAGTCATATATACAGTTTCATTTTCAAGAGTTGGACAATAAAACTCTTCTTGATCAAGCAATTTTGGAATGAAGCCCAACAATCCTTTGGAAATGAATCATGTTAGGCCCAATACAAATCTCCATTTCGTCAAAGGGGAATTCAAGAATATATTACATTCCACAAAAGAGAATGTTATGTACAAAAGCTAAACAATGGTCTCAAGTAGCAACCAATGACTCCCAAAAAATGCAATAAAAGTTATATATGTCTTAAAAAGTCTTCTTAACTATTATTATGAAAATTTATATTAAGATATATTAAAAATTATAGAAGTAAGTACATTTGTATCTTATTTATTCTTTAACCAGTATTATTAACACAATTGTTATCGTTTTTTTTTTATTAAAATAAAGAGTATTCTCTGGAGTAGCAAACACACAACGAAGCCCATTAAGTGAGAGAGGGTTTGTCGCATATGTGAAGCAATGTGTCTAATGGACAAAAATGAAAAAACAAAGTGTGAGGGACAAAGGCACTTCACAAGAATCACTTATAGTGTCATTATATACTATCATTGCTCTCTGTGTTTCTGCCTCACCCTCATCAAATTTACATTAATGCTTACAATTCTTTCTTACTTATTAAATGCTTCTTTGCTTGTCCCACAAATACCATTTTTCACTCGTCATCTCCACTTATTTCCTCCTTTGCTTGCATTTTATGTCAAATAAAGATGATAATCTGAAGGAAAAAAATAAAAATAAGAGGGATATGAAAGGAAAATGAACAATATAAAATAAAATAAAAGTTTGGAGTGACGGTGTAAGAGGTGTTGGCCCATAACATTGATGGTGAAGCTATGAAGAAAGTGGGGTCCAAAGGAGAGGGAAAAGGGCAATTAAGTCAATTCAGATGCCACCCCATGGCCAGTTTTGTTTCTGTGGGGACAGAACAGCCGCCACAGCCCGCAAAATGCGGGCTACAAACATTGTTTGTGTCTGTCTTCGCAGTTTTGGCGCCAACCGACTTTGGTTCCAAAATTTTTCCAATCTCACGGGCAGTTCGGGCAGAGGGGGTACCAGGATGTGACTGAAAGAGGCTCAAACCGCGTCACACCCAAAATAAGCTACAAAAGAAAATAAAAATTAGTCAAATTTAAGAGAGAGAGAGAGACAGAGAGAAGAGTGTGTGTGTGTGTGTGTATTAAGAAGCACCATTCACTATTCTCTATTGGGTTCCAAATTTAGAATCTTTCATATGCTTAGGATTCCTCAGAGACCCATGTGTACGTGTCTCTACTCCTTCCTTTCTTTCATACATTGGATTCCTCCTTCTTTGCCTATTTATCTCTTTCCATTCCCTCCTCCAATTAATACTTAACAGTTAATACTCTCACCCTCCCAATTATGTCCACCTTTACACCCTTCCTTTTACTTCTTTTCTTTATATTTCGCCATACAAATTCAACTTGCCACCAATTATATGTTATATAGTACCATATTCCATTATACTATCCTTTTTCCCTTTTGTTTTGATTCAAAATTCATCCCCGAAGAAAAATAAATGGATTAAACTAAATGGGTGTTTGAATAACAACAATTACTAAAAGACAAGCATGGATACCCCCTTCCCCAAACTAAGCACCCCTTTTTGATGCTTTGGGTGATGTAACCTTGTTCGATCTTTATGTGTCCTAAGGTTCAATTTAAGGTGCGTGGAATGTCTGTGAGTTGCATATTGGTAGAGCAATTATTCAATCAATTCATGGTATATAATTTGATTTACATTAAGCGAAATTGTAATAGAGCATAGCATAATTGATAATTCCAAGTACTTGATTAATTGTTGTGGCATAGACTAGAGAGTAGAGAGAGGACCAGGCTACAATCCGAGGTGACAAGTCACGTCATTGCATATGCTACTAGATTGGGGCTGAGAATCCTGGCATACTGCTAAATGCTAATCAGTGACTCCACTATGTGTCAAAACTCTTCAGGGCTCTGTACTTGCACATTAATTTCACCCATACCATTCACATCTCTCTTGTTGACATCATATTCCTCATAAGTAAATACTGCCACTGCATCATGGACTCCGGTAAGTCATGTGTATGGAAAAGGTAATTTACAAATGCCACCATTTCTTAATTTCTTCATCTCTATTATTCAAAAATTATCTTGTATAATCACAAACCATTAATTGGGTCATGAGTCATGCATAATTTATGTGATTTTTATTTTTTATCTCACGTGATTTACTTTTTTTTTTTTTCTTGTCTTTGAAAATATAGGTATATCCCAAGAACTGGTTTTTTTATAAAATTTATAAATGGCCTTGAATGACATGAGCATGTGTCAGCATCGCTGTCTGCTACTGAGCACAATGAACTCCCTCTGCTACCGGTAGTCATCTACTCGAGAAATGCCAACAAGAGAAGCCACGCAAAAAGGAGCGGGAGAAAAACAATGCAGAGTTTTGCAACAGTTACTTGTTCTGAGCTTTTTTTCTCTCCATAAATTATTGTGTAAGTAATATATATCTCTATTTTTTGAGGTCAAATTACCCTGTAAAGAAATTATTAGTCATTAAACCTTGCAGCCAACTAACAATCATCATAATCGATTATTCAAATTAATTTGATGGAGGAGAGATGTTTCATGGAAGAATAATTCTAAATCTTTTTTATATAATACTCTCTTAACTATCATTAAATTGACAAATAAAAAGTATTAAAATTTTTAACGTTTTAATATATCATTAAAAGTTTTTTATGTTTTTATTTAATATTTTTATAAAGTATTAAGATGATTGTTAAAAAGATGTTAGACAGTGTATATATGCACTTGATGGAAACAAGAGGCCTGTGCCAGCAAACAATTTCCTGTTTCATTTTGTTAATAGTACTGTGTGGTTCTTAGCAATTTAATAAAAAGAATCGTATTACAAATTAACACCCAAAATGGCAGTGATGAAGGTCGTAAACATAAAAGATATTATTGGGTAATGCATAGCATAATTTTGTAATTTATTGATTTGATTGATAAATTAATAGAATTATTATATAAATAAATAAATTAAGAAAGTTTTAAAATTTTAAAGAAATAACTTTTAAAAAGTTGCTTGAAATAGTGTCTAACATCTGAATGCTTACTGCTGATAATTATTTATCATTTTTACCTTTATTTCAAAATATATATATATGAAAAAGAAATTGAATTTTATTACCTAATTATTCATTATAGATATGCATGGTGTTCGAAATATATAAAATTCATCTTAATCCTTCACATGCCTTGGGCCCCTTCGGATACGTGAAAAATCACATTAATTTCTAACCAGGAAAAACAAGTTATATATGTATAAAATTCAAGGTTCGTTTAATGACTAAAATAAAATAAAGATGAATATAATTAAAAATAAATAAATAATACAAATAAGACAAAATTTTCTTTTATCTAGTGTGTGATATTCATATATATATATATATATATATATATATATATGAAAATATTGTGATTGCATAATATAAGGATAAGGGTGAAAATAAAGTGAAGATGTCTATCATATCTTTCTCTTTTCTCAATGTAGCACCCTCTTTACAATAATTTATGACTAACGAACAAAATAAAATAAAGTGACCAGATAAGTTTTTCTTATCCTATTCTGATTCATCAAACAAAATATTAAAGTAAGATAAACTAGCTTATTGGTTAATAGAAAAATATTCAAGGTGTAAGACTTACAAACTATATTTATTTTATATATATCAGTTTTCATAAATTTATATTTAAAATTGTTTTCAAATATAAAATACTTTTAAACCTTAAATTAACTATTTAGAATATTTAATTGGTCAATATATATCAGCTGGCGATAACTCATTCTCTATATGTGCACCAAGCTAAACTTCCATGAAGCCGAATTCCTAGAGCAAAAAACACAAGTAATTGAGATTAGAATAACATAAGTACAATATATAAGAATGAATGGTAAATCTCATCTCATAAACATGTCATGTACCAACACATGTCCATTTGTGCCAATAGTAAAGTAATGCAAAGGTTAGATTACGTGTTGGGAATAAGATTTTATTCAACAACAGTGTACATGTGCTTTAAATTTCTATTTTATTTTTTGTCTTTGGATATATTTTGGGTCCCCCACAAAAGAATATTTAGCTCAAGGTCGTATAGCTCCAAGAACTAGTTAAGAACTTTTACAATATTGACAACCACTAACTCACTTCTCCGGAACTGCAAAAACAAAATTCAATCAACGATGGACATTATACTTCAGGAGTTGTTTCTTTGATGAAAAGGACTGATTGGTTACTTCCAATTAGGAAAAGCGAAATCGAAAGCTACAAAAATGTTCCTTTCTAATTTCTCTCATGAAAATCACTAGTATCTTAGCATGTGAACGTACGTGCATGTGCTAATCAATCAATTTGTTGCCAATGGTTGACGAATGGTTCTTATTTGTCAATCTAATATTGCAAAAATAATATTCATAAAACAAGATCAAACCCATGATAAAAGAAGAGTTGAAAATTATTATTGTTTTTCATAGGGAAAGAATCAAAGAATGTTGGTTTGTCTATCCTTTTAAGTGAAGTAGTAAAAGCTCACATTATAGTTGTGGGGCGCTAGCTATTTTGTAGACTTAATTGGAATTTAAATTAAGGTAAATGATTTTGACAGTTAGCAAACATATTTATTTTGTAAAGTTATAACAAGGTTTAATATTATAGTCATGCTAACTAATTTGGCGTGTTACTAAGAATGTAATCTCATAAATAAATAACAAAAACAAAAATTTCATTAGACAATGAGTTGCTTCCCGGAAGGAAGCAAGAGGCAAAGTCAAAAGTAACATCAAAGATAAAATTTTCTAAGAAAGCATCAAGAAACTGCCTCATGTGGTGCCCATTTAGGCCATCATGGTAGAAACACCATTGCATATCCAATTCTAAAATGACCACAATGTGACAAAGTAATAAGACCTTAACATTTACTACAACTTTACTGTGTGCTTTCTTAAAAGGATCCTAATCCCTAGAAACCTTTCTTATTATACAATACCAAGGAGAACCTCAGATTAGGTAAACTCTATCATCATCACCTTTTAAACAAATCCCTTGGTCATGCGAACCGTATCCTGTCTACTCCTTAAACTATTTGAGATTCTGGTACATGATAATAACATGCACAAAAATCTTATCCACACAAATCTAATCGTACCTAAGATCAATCACTAAATATATATATATACAAACGTCAATGGCATTAATTGCAATGCTTAAACCATTTATTTTGAAACAGTAACAATCACATAGGATTCTAATGCACTACCCTTAAGTATTTTTCTCTTTTAATAATCTGAGGACTATTATGAGGGACTTGACCTTAGCCGTGGCACGCAAGGCTAAGCAAAGGTGTGTGGGGGCATGGAAGAAGATTAAAGGAAGAGTGGCATAAATGTAAAAGGAACATCAACATGGGCCTAATAAGGTTGGAAGAGATTGATTTGTCAGTCAATCAATTTGTGCAACATATCTTGGCCATTAAAAAGATTTTCTTTTACTATGTTTAAGGCAGCTTTTGGCTAAATAGCGAGACATTTTGACCCGTGTACAATACACGCTTGTATCTGTGACTTTGTGTATGGGGCTTAGTGGAGAAAAAAAAAAAAAAAGTTAAGAGCCCCTAGAAGTAGTAGGAAAAAGGTAAGAAGTTGCAATTTTAACATTGAAAAAGCAAAACCCTTGACATTTTTCAATGAAAAGATTTGTTTATTTTGTGTAAAAATGATATTAATCAAACATTTTAGTTTAGATAACTTTAAAAGAATATTTTGAAGACGTAATTGTTACTAAATTTATACACTTAATATTTATGTATCTGGGTTAATTAGTGTTTAAAATAACTTTAAAAAGCCTGAAAGAATTTTTGCTAGAAGAAATTACATCACTCGTTTCTCGAGATATCTGGCAGTATGTTGAAGGAGAGAAGGATAATTTGTGACGCAAAGAAAGAATAAATCAGAAAAAGCTTCTGAAGAATAGAGGGGTAGGGCACGGCATGTTACAATAGTACGCATAGTCAGAGGAATGGGGATGCACAATTTCATCAAAATCAAAATTTGTTAACTAACTCTGGAAGAAACTTTTAGCTGTCAAAAAACAAAACATGAACTTCCTTAGCCATGTATGTGAGTGTTAATGGTTAAGTAAAATAAATTGGGGCATGAAAATATTAAGGTTGTAAGATTAATCCCTTTTGGTCTAAACATACCAAGTTAACCTAACATTTTTTTTATCAGCAAAAACAATGTTATTACAACCTAGAGTACCAGAAGTACTAGAAGGAATACACAGGAGAAATAAAAACAAAGCAACCTAACAATTAGGAGTCCAGCAGCACAACAGATTTAATTAACATAAATAGAACCAACCTAGGTCAAAAACAGAAACAAAAGCTGCACAGAAGACACTCTTCAAAAGTAAAGATTTGCACAAGAATGGAATCGCTCCTCACAACACAGAAGTGCAAGTTAACACTGCACATAGCAAGCACCAGAAACCCAGAACAAACACTTTGGCCATGGCTCAACTCTCACTCTATCTCCACGCTGAAATACTATTAGAAGCCCTTAAATAGTCAATATGGTTAAAAAAATAAGCAAAATATTTAAAGCTTCTCATTAACCAAAAACAGAACTGAAAAAACTACATAGCCTCTAATCAAAATCAAAATAAACAAAAACAAAGCAAAAGACTAGCTTTCTAACTTCTAAATATCAAATTTTTTTCCTCCTTTATACACAAGTTCTTGTTTCATCACCTAGATAAGAGGAGAGAGAGAGGAACAAATAATCAGCATTTGAGAGGAAAATACAAGTACATAGAAAACCAGAAGAGAACCCCTCAAACTCAAACCTCCCATTTTTCTAAAACCTTGTTTGTTAGTAGAATAAGCTCAAATCATTTAGCTTTTTCAACATGGCACTTGAACACGGTTTCCAAATCAGGAGGTGTGAAGAACTCTCTAACACCACCCAAGTTGTTACACCTCGACGGTCGCCGCTTCCTCGGCGCCGGCGGGCACGGCAACTTCTCAGGTATCCGAGCCTCTTTCGCAGTGGGCGTCGTTGAACAAGCTTCTTCTTCATCATCACTAAGGTGCTTCGTGTTTATGGGCTTCAGAGACCGAACCGCGATGCCCGCAATTACCCATTTCTTAGAATCCGAATCCAAGCCACTCTCCATCTGCGTCTTCTTTGAAAACCCCATCAAATCAGCGTATGAAAGGTTTCAGCTTTCGATTATGGGTTGATTCAAACAACCGAAAGGAAAAGTGGGTGTGAGTTAGAATATGAAAAGGGTATGAAAAGAGGGAATTTTGGGTGGGAATCAGAACAAATGAGGAGGGAAAAATGGATGCTAAGGAATCAGAGGAAGAAGAAGGAATAAGAGAAAAGGGTTTTGTCTTAGGTTGTTTGGTAGAGAGAAAGAGAGAGAAGAGTGAAAGGTTTGAACTTTGAATGGAGGAAGCAACAAAGGGAGAGAATAAAAGGAGTTTTGAGTTTGAGTTTCCGTGGGAAAATTGAAAGCAATTTTCCAAGAAAAAATAGAGAGAGAGAAAGGAGAGCCCGGGATTTTACGGGCAGCCCAAATGGGGGGCTGAAGGTGCATTTTGGCGCCAAAATTTCATTGGTTTGGGCAGCAACGGCTCTTTTTCCCGCCTTTAGTTTTTGAGTGAAATTCCAGTTTTAGCCTTCTATTTTCAGGTATTTTAATTAAATAAAATAAATTTCTAGGGAGTGGTGTTGGGGCAGACAGTCTGGGCACGATGACCGGCGTGACAGGGTCAGGAGGGAAGGAAGGCCGTGCGACGTCGTTTCCGCAGCTGATAACGTATCTGTGTGAAAACTTCATACCCAAAGTGGGTCCCTTTCCTTTAATTAACTGTAGAATATACATTCATCACTCAATGAATTACACATGCACGTGCCCACCAACTATGATATTCAATCACTCAATTCAAAGCAACACATCTTATTATGTTTTATAAGTTTTGCAATATGGTAAACATAAATTAAATACTATTAATTATTTTTACTCCTTTACAAAATGTTTACTATTAATTTCTGTATTAATACTAAACCCTGATAAACAAGAGTTTAAGCAACAAAGTAAACCATTTTTTTAGCAGGAGGCATGACAAGTATGATAATTATCTTCTATATGTTGAGAATTTTAACAAAATAAAACAGTGTGTCTAAAGAATTCATGATTACCAATAGAGGCAACAAACCAACAAACAATTTTATATATAGTCAAATGATTAGGTTCTGAAAAATATCAAATGAGAGTGGATAAAGTAATTTTAGCTGAGTTTTTTTATTCAGAAAATCATTAACATGTTTACACTAGCTTATGTTCTCATTTGCTTTCCTTGTTAATTTAAATCATAACAAAATTATTTAGTACTTGACACATTATTTTAATACATTATGTTATTACAAATTGCAATGGTTATACTATCTCAAATAATATATTGCTTCTATTTTTATTTATTTACATATAAATTTAAAATTATATTAATTATTATTCATTTGATAATATATATTTACTTATTTATTAACATGTACAAAAGTGTACATAATATACACTTATATATAATTTTTTTAATAAAAATCACATAATTTAATATGGTTCAATACATTGGTATTATTAAATGATGTCAAATTTAATTAAAAACTTATTAATTATTTTTTTGATAAGTACAATTTTGCACAAGTTAAGAATTTTAATAAAATTTTTACAATTTATTAATTTCAAACTTTATGATAGAGTTTAGATATCTACAAACAATATTTTTTTTATTACAAAAATATTTATTATACTCTGATATAATAATAAATGTTTATTTTTATGAAAATTTATTTTATGTAGATTTAAACACAATAATTAAAGTTGATAAAATTGATTAAAATATCCTATCTAAATATTGTTATTGAATATATTTTTTTAATAAATTAATCTAAAATTTATAAAACTCTTTTATGTATATATTTCTTTCGTAATATAAAAGAGAAAGAAATGAAAGCAGTTATTTGTTTAAAAATAATTATTTGTTTTTTCTTTTTTTTTATCATTTTTTATTGATATATAAAAATATATACAGCACGTAACAATAAAAACAGCTCACTGAATTTCAACCAAAAAATAAATATAGGGCTTAATTAATCTCTTTACTGTAATAAAAAAATATTATATTTAATATTTTTTTTTAAATAAATTATTAAAATATAATTCTGAATGAATTAAACAAATAAAAATATTATTTTTTATTAATTTTTATTTTTAAGTGATTTCAATTTATTAGAGTACATGTCATAATATAGTATAATTTTATCTTAATCAGGAAATAATATTTAAAATTATTTTAAAATAAAAGATAAGTTTATTGTTTATATAGAAATTACTATATTTGAAATTAATCCTAAAGAACTTTATTTAAACTTACAGTAAGAAAAGAAATAGTGTATTAATATTTATTTATTAATTATTAAATTAACTAACAATTGTATTAATTTAACCATATTATATGTCAAAAACTTAACATTAAGTGCAAAATTGTCATGACAGGGATATAAACTTTAAACCCAAACAATCATGCGCCAGCATGGCCAAGCAAAATATATTGGTGAAACCTGTGCATTAATCTTTATGTCTCAGCTTCTCCATCATCTTAATAATTTATAAATTAACTTTAAATGTAACATTTTTTACATGCATCAAACTTGTATTAAAGAAAAAAATTTAAACATGAAGTTATAAAATTCATATATTTTATGATTTTATTAAAAAATATAAATATCTCTAAATATAATATATTAGTAATATTAAATATATATATTTTTAGCTTTTTCATAATGTATTGTTTATACACATTACAAAAATAATATAGTTTATAGTTATCAACCCTAGACATGTATAATGTGAAGATTTTGGCATATGTGCGAAACCTATCTTGACAAGGAGTAAATGCCTACTACTACTATGATGTAGCTAGAAACAATGGTGTCCATTTCAAATAGATCATTAGCGTGTTGTAGTATATATATCCAAACAAAACAAATGGAAGGTTTTATAAGGTCGATCACGTTTCAATAAATTTGGGTGGTCCATTATACACAAGACCTGAAACACCTTCTGCAGCCACAACAGCAGCTGACAAAGCATGTGGCAGTACAACGAACCCATCCCAGCTTGATCTACTCCTTAGACGAAGCAATAGAGTCAGAAGCTAAGGTAACATGGAAAATTTGAAATTTCAAGACACCTCAACTTTTCAAATAAACAGTGCATGAAAGAGGAGATGAATGCGGACAAATTAATTAGCCAATTGATTGCTTCCTAATTAATCATCATTATAATTGAGACATACCCCGTGTTAAAAGTTGTATGATAAAGTTGGATACAAGAAATCTCCTTCTGTGTTGAGTCAAAGGTCAAGCATTCAATCACTTTAGCTAAGTCTTCACATTTAAAAAAAAGTCAATCATCAAAAGAAATGATTTCGTTTAAAGATTTACAGTATTGCATGTAATGATAAATTATAAAATTTAATATGTTTCCATTACCTGCATCTTCTTAAAAAGAACCATACATTTTGAGGAATGGATCCTCTCACATCACACCTACACTGTTGAAATAACTAAATTGTTTATTGAAAAAATTTATTAATTATCAAAGGTCAGATTTTAAGACTGTATCATGTCAAGTTTCTTCTACAACTGAGAAAATCATGATCTGATATTTTGGTATGAACCAAATTGAAGGGACTGTACTGTAGTACACTATATTTTTGATAATCTAGCTACTTAGCTAGCAGTATTGCCCCCACATAATTCGACATGACATTGGTTTGGCGTACCGACCAGAGGAGGCGACGCGTACGGTGGAGAAATGCTTGTAAATTGTAACATGTAATTTAATACTCTCATTTAATATTTTCCATTTATTAGGGATATTTTTACGTGTGCACCTCGCTGTTAAACAGTATACTCTGATTACAAACGAAATTTACATGACATTTCAATCAATAACAAAGAGGTAACTTATAAAATACTCTAGTGGCAAAATGTAGAAAGTTGGACATGTGTCTATATAGGAGTTTGTGAACTCCAAAAATGGAAAACTCAAATATGAGTTAGTCCAATCAAATAACTTAATCAATAGTTGATTTTGAGGATGGGTGATGGAAGCAAGCTTATGATGAAAATAACATACATAATGAGGTGAATGAAAAGTAGCTAATTAAACAAACAGTGTCAAATTAAGAGGGTTAACAATAGCATTAGTTTGATGTCCTAGGGTTGCCGTTGCAACCCAATGATCCCATAATTCTCGGATAAGGATGACATATAGCCAAGTGGAATAGTCCGAGAAAACAACTAGATTTCATCGATCATTATTTTAGCAAGAAAACAAACTACGAATTTCCATGATCAATGTTTTTGTCAAACAGATTTCTAATCATTATAAAAAAAAAGGGTTTGTTGACTTAATTAGAATGTGGTTAACAGCTAGGTTTGAGGTAAGTATCTGGTTGTACATACATATATACATATCAATTCTATAATACTTTATAGAACATAACAACGAGACACACTCACAAAACATAACAAACCCAATTCAAATACCAACATTTTCTCCTCTCTTTTTTTTTTGAATGACTCAAAATCTTTATAATTTTAAAAAAAATTCATTTTTGGAAATGAGATTCCGTAGTCGAGTTTGAGTTTGTTTGAGCAACCATACGAGTGATTTATAGGATTTTTTAATAGGGTGATTTTGAATTCAAATGAATCTATGTTTGTGGTACATTTTAACTCTATTGTCTATACATTTCTGTGGTTAGGTTTCAATTTGTACACTTGATTTGCCTTTACCTATAAGACCGAGTAAAAGAAAGTACATTGTATGGTTTCCAGCATGGTCCAGCTAACATGAAGTGGAAATACTTTGAACTCCCCTCAGACTATGTTATCCTGATACACATTAGGTTTATTTCCCTAGTTACAAGTTTTTGGTTCATAAAACTTCGAACAATGTAGTTAGGAAACAAATTCTCAGCTACAAAGCTTCAAAGTGTATGTTTGTACTGGTTCTACTAACATATTATTTAGCTATTTTCATCCATAAATTGTTTGAAACAATAAGCATGCGTTGCATCCATGTAATCATATTTTTTTATCTCTGATTCTACAGAGTTTCTCAATTATTAGATTTTTTAGCAAGATTATTACAGGTCTTGATATAATTATACGACGTTCTCTTAACCATATTATCATACCTCACTTAATTACAATAAAAGATTTTAAATAACTATAGTGAACCAAATATTTTCTTAGACGCTGCATGTAAAAAAAAACTTATGCATTCCATCTCCTTGAAAGTTCTTACTAATTTGTATACTAATTTGTATCTATTTCTATAAGTTTATAAAGATATTATATAACTAACTCGTTATTTTCTTAACTAATAAAAGTTTCACTAATTTTCTCAGCAGTGCACAATAAATTGGAGTAAATTACTCCAACTAAATAACATGTCGACTCATATTGGCCTAGTGGGAATTCATTGTCCAGTAGGTGATATAATAATAGGTTAGAGTTCATCTAACAAGTGACTTCTATTTCTCAGCATGAATTCAAGGTGTCAAAATGGACAACCATTTGAGGTAACTCGAATAACCTAATAGTAATATACACTGCGTTGGCCTATTTTGCATTTTGAACTTCTCATGTGGACCACACCCATCATGATAAATAATTGTCAAGAATTTCATCAATTTATAAAAATATTAGATAAAATATATTAATGTAGGAACATGGTAATTGTAGACTATTTTGACTCGGATAAAAGCTGGATTGGGCTATAATATATTGTTGGCCCATGGCTAATCCCAAAATAGAGCTCCAGCACGCTTGTTGGGCCGTTGGACCTGTTTGTTGTTTCCGAGCTTCTTGGGGCAACATTCTTTTTTTTTCTTTTCACACTCTTCTTCTTCTACTACTACTATTATTATTATTATTATTATTTATTTATTTTAAAACATTCCTTTTTTTTATCACAAAACAATACATATTGATTGATTTTTCATTATTTTCAAATTTAGTCTGAAAGTTTGTGCTTCTCAAAAATTATGGAAACATACATAAAAATGGTTAATTCTAGAGGTCTAAAATTCTAATTTTAGAAGTTTGTTTTCATAAATAGTTCAAAGTTATAAAAATATTTTTTGAAAGTATAAAAAATTAATTTTAAAGTGTAAATTTTTAATTTTAATTTTAAAATATAAAATTTTATTTTTAGAAACTTATTTTTAAAAATAGATAATAATTCTAAAAATTAATTTTTAAAAGTGTATACTATTTATTTTGGAATTTTAAAAAAAAAAATAGCTAATAGTTCTGAAAATTATTTTCCAAATGTGTATAATCTTAATTTCAGAAATGTAGAATATTAATTTTAAAAATATATTTTTAAAGATTAATTTTCATATGTATGGAAACCTAAATTTAAAAAATAAAATTTCAAAAGTGTAAAATTTTTATTTTTTAAATTTATTTAAAACATATTAATAAATTTGGAAAATAATTATTGAAAGTGTTGAAAAGCTAATCTTACAAATTAACTTGTAAATGTCTAAAGTATTTTATTTTAGAAACTTATTTTTGAAATAGTAAGCATTCACAAGTCGATGAAAATATTTTTTTAATAATGAATCAAACTTTCTATGATACAATAAATGTATCTAAAAAAATATGAATATGTTTAAGTCAATTAAAAAAGTTAATGAAAATTAATCTATCTTATAAAGAAAGCCTTAAAAATTATCTAATAATTTATATTTCCTTATAATTTAGGGGAAATGATAATTATGAATGGAGAGGAACATGAAATTGAATAAAAGTTGTTCCCGCCAACAGAGGTAAGTAAGCGCTCTTGTGTTTCATGTAATGGCGCCTAAACGGTACCAAATATATTTCTTCCCCTTTTCGGATTCAAATCCCTAATTCCCATTCTCAATGCAAATGAACACTCCAAAATCGCGATCACTCTTCACTCACATCAACTCGAGAGAGCTCAATGCTTTCCCAGGTTCTCTCTCTCTCTCTCTGTAAAGCTCAACTTCTCAGTAAACGACATCGTCGTTTTCTCACTGTGTTTCTCTTTGCAGTTCGCAAACGACCTCGCATGGATGGATTCGTCTCTGGCTTCAACGAGATCGGAGCCGTTGCCGTTCAACACAATGCCGAAGACACCATTCCCCTTTCTCTCTCCTTCTGTAAGGTACTCGCTACTAAACCCCATTCTCAACCTTCATTTTTTCACAATTTCTCTATTTATTTATTTGATTTTTTTTATCAATGTTCTCGCAGACCTCAAAATTTTCAAACATCCTCGCTTTATCCGATGAGGATGGATATGTGAGCTTGTTCGATACTCGACGTCACTTCCCCGTTACTGCAACCTTTGAACAAAACGCAGGTCTTTTTCTTTTATTGTGTTTCGTTGTTTGTTTGTTTATTTTGATTTTTAATGTGTAATAAATATGGAGGTCACGGAATTTTGTTGAATCTCAGAGGAAGCGAAGATATGCGAGTGGGTTTCGCATCTTAATGCTGTTTTTGATGTCTGTTGGATTAAGGTTAGCCACTGTTTTGCATTCATAACACGTTCACTTTGAGTGTGTGTCAAATATGAGTGGATTGAGTTATTTGTTTTCTAGTGTCTCAAATATGGTTTACATTTCTTTGCAGGATGATACCCAGATTCTCACTGCCTCTGGTGATCAAACGGTGAGTCATCATGTTATTGTTATCAGTTGTATTCTCGCTTCACAAGCTATTTGCTAGATTTAAGTAGTAGTTGATTGTTGGCATAATATTTTACAGAGCTTCCAATAGATACCGATTTCATCATCTTTGTAATTGGATATATAGTGTCTTGTAAGTAGTTTTCCTTCAAGCTAATTTTGTTTTGAACGCTCTTATGGTGCACCTTATAGATGAAGGTATGGGATGTTCAAGAAAAGAGATGTCTTGGAGTGTTGACGGGGCACACGGGAAGTGTGAAATCTGTGTGTTCTCATCCAACTAATGCTGGTAATTATATTTAACTTTATCCGCATCTATGTTTGTACACAACTCTTGATTTTCTGAATCTGCAAAGTGATGTATTAGCTATTAATATTCATTTTAACTCTAAAATTTTTCAGATATTATTGTCTCTGGTTCAAGAGACGGATCCTTTCGTCTTTGGGACTTGAGATGCAAGTCCACATCTAGGAGTACTTGCTTCTATAGTTCAATGGCTGTCGTCAATGGAGCACATCTTTCATCTCAAGCAAAACGAGTTAGGAGGGGAAAGGTTAGTTTCTGATGGTTTATTGTTCCTTCACATTTTGGAAAACTTACTTTTCTAATAACTTTTCTTACTTGGCAGGCTGCTTCAATGAGCATTACATCTGTTCTTTGTCTCAAGGACCAAGTTTCCATAGCCACTGCAGGGGCAGTGGATAGGTTAGTTTGAAAAATTACCCATCAAAATAAAGATTAGATTTTCTGAAGCATTTAGTTGAATTAATTGATCTTACTAAGCAATTGCTTTATTTATTTTAGTGTGTTGAAGTTTTGGGATACCAGAAATTTGAGAAGTATTGTCACGCAGACATGTCCATGTCCTCAGTCAACTGAAAAGGTTAGTTGGAACTGTGCTTTAAAGTGATGATATGTTTTCTTTATATACAGTTAAGAAGTTGTCAAGGGAATAGGATAAATTGGACCATGATTTCTAAGTTTAGTAAGAGGTTATATACATGATTATGGTCTCAATTATCAAAATCATAATCACCATATCACTCAAAATGTATGTAGAAGTGGTAGAAAATGCCATTAGGATGTCCGGACAGTGTCAATTTTCTCACTCTTTTTTTGTGTTATATTGGAAAGCTTGAAATGATATGGCCCTGAGTCTCATGAATGCATTGTTCATTGTCATTTCAGCAAAGATTACATGGAATATCTAGCTTGTCCCAAGATGACAGTGGACTTTTTCTTTCAGCCTCCTGCATGGATAACCGGTATCATCCTTTGACAGATAAATATTTTATTCTCGTGAAGCAAACCGTGAATTTAATGTACAACAAAACATTAAGTATTCCGTTTCTTCCCTTTTGCAGAGTTTATCTATATAACATCCTTCAACTTGAAAAGGGGCCATTGAGATCTTTTTCTGGATGTCGAATAGAATCATTTTTTGTAAAGGTAAGAATCACACTTGTATCTTGGAATTTTCTGCATTCAGTTTCTGTCACTACTGACTCTTTTTGTCTAATGTCTGTAATTCCAGTCTGCAATTAGCCCTGATGCATCACACATAGTGAGTGGTTCTAGTGATGGAAATGCCTATGTTTGGCAGGTAATGTTTCTTACTCAAATGAGCTACTGTAAGTTTGATACTTAAGATGCAGCTGTGATCAAATTTCACGTATCTTTCAAAATTCAGGTTGACAAGCCTTTGGAAGAACCTACTATTTTGAAAAGTCATGACGGTGAAGTTACAGCAGTTGACTGGTAAATGGGCAATCTAGCGTGGTTCTAGTTCTCTTTTAACATGTGTTTCTAATCTTGTTTATTTGACAGGTGTTGCTCTGAGGTTGGCAAATTAGCAACGTCTTCTGATGATTTTACAGTAAGCAAAAAGCTGTTTTCTATTATTTGCCTTGAAATCGTAGTTGAAACCAGATAGTGCATATTATTTGCGATGTCTTTTAGTTTAGTATTGTCTATAACCCATTTTTCTAATGGTGCCTCAAATCGTTTCCTTCTGCTTTGTAACTTCTCCCAATGTTATTTTTAGGTTCGGATATGGAACAAAAACAGTTATATCTCCAAAGCAAAGTCTGCTTCTGCCATTCGAAGAAGGGTAATGGCAATGCCTAGTATAGAGTGCAAAATGCTTTTAAATAATGAAGAAATGTGCCCCAAGTCAAGTAACAATACTTTTTTGTCCAATGAAGCCCCGCAATGCTCAATTAAGCCAGCCAGTCCAATCACACCACTTAAAATAAATGTATCAGAAGACCATACGAACCAACTTTCATCCGGCTTAGATCTAACTGCACCGTCCGAAAAAACTCCAGAATCTGCTTGGAAGAGCCCCTCATCTGTATTGAACCCTCCATCCTCCCTAAAACGAACTATCCGGGACTACTTTTTAGCATCCTCATGAATCTTAGAGACTTACTAAACCGACAAGATTTTGTTGTCAAGTAGCAATTTTTGCACATAATCCTCCTGTTTTCAGGTCGCATGAGTGGCTTGGAATTTCTTCTACTTGGGTAAGGTTCTTTTTCTTAGGTTTTAAACAACTTTTGTCTGTAATTTTAAACTTGTGGTAAGACATTTGTTGTCGTTTCTGCAGGTTATTTGAAATGTAAAGGGCATAGATTGTCGTTCGTTATAGCAACAATATTTTAACTCCCAAATTCGGATAAAGCTGGGGAGGGCATGCAAGCAAAAAACATAAAAAGCTGGACAAATGTTTGCTTCAGCTGTTTTGCTAGAAAAAACGTGGTGTGTGCTGTATTTGCTTCATGTGATTGTGCATATAAATTCTGATTGTCAGGTTTTGAGAAATACAATTAAGATAAAAGGCGATGCCCACTCAAATACAATTTATAATGTGAATTAGTGAACTGTATGAATGGAAAAACATGACACGGTATAAGGAGCTTAACTTGTGCCTTTAGCTTAGTAAGATAACTTAATCCTTGTAGGTGCAGTATACAGTGATGAAAGCACTGATTCGTAAACATAGTTTTGGTTGCCAATGTTGGCAGTGATATTTCATGAATAGATATATTTTTCTTCATAAACAAAGGTCAAATTGCTCAAATGGGTCAGAGCAACACCTAATCTATCTAAAGGGTGGATGTATGGGGTCATTAGGAGCTTGTTTGTGGCATACGAAAATCATGAAAACCGCACTAAGTTTGATCAGAGTATCGTTTCAATTAAAAGCTTCACTAGCACATGAACTGCCGCTGACAATCCAATGGCAATGTTATATCATCTGATTAAATGTGAGAAATATTAAGAGATGTCCGCAGTGGCTTTCTAATGATTACAATGCGTTATAGCCTTTAAACAAGCCATAGTAACTCTACCCAATGATAAAAGTGATCCTCGCTGTTTAAGATGAGGAACGGTGAAAAATTAGACGAGCATGAAATATATAAAGATATTAACTAATTGGTACACTAACTCTTCATTTTTACCATTCATTCTCCCACTTTTCGGGAAACAGTACAATTATTAAGGTATACGAGTCTTTCCTACTTTGAGTGCAGTACTTTCATTTTTATTTAAATAAAAATATAAAAAATAACAAAAGTTTTGTAAATTTTGTTTAAGTGAATTTAGAATTGGTGAAGGGAATGGGAGAGAGTGGGTAGGTATGGGAGTTGGGTTGAAGAGAGGAAGAGGAGAGTTGGATAAGAGGAAAAGAGGTTGGGACAGGGAGCATAAGAGTAGAGAATGGAGACATAAAATTTACTTAAGCTAATTTTGTGTTTTTTTTTTTTGTTATTTTTTATATTTTTGTCTTTTAAAAAAATTGAATTGAAAACTTATTTGTACCACAATAGAAAAGAATTTGAATTCGTTATATACATTTTTTTGGTCACACTGTAATATACCTTTATCTAAATGATAAACGAGATTTTTTATCATACATTTGTAAAATTACAATTTAAAGGTTAAAGTAAAATTTGATGAAGAGATGATTATTTTCCCTAAAAACATAACATGAGAACATAAATATATTTAGTTTTAGAAAAATGTTAATGTAAATCTTTAAGATTAATTTTAAGCAATTAAAAGTGATAAATTTTTATTTTTTAAGTTTTTGGTCACAATTTATTTTTTTTCATTTGACCCTTCAGTTTTCATAAAATACTCTTTAATTACAAAAGTCTCTTCTGTTTTTTTTTATTTGGTTCTTCTAAATATTATAATTTTCTGTTTAATCCCTTAATTTAATAAATAAAATGAAAAGTTCATGCATTGTAGAATAATCAAATGACAAATTTATGATATTAGAGGCTAAATATAATTTTTTTATCTTAAAAAAAGCAAAAATCACAAAAGAACCACTAGTAAAAAATCTATATCGTAAAAGAATCATTTGAAAAAAAAAAACAGGATTAAATAAAAAAATCACAAATTTTTGAAGAACTAAAAGCTTAATTAAGTTGAAAAAAATGTTGTAATACTAAACTATAATCAATAATTTCGTTTTTATTAAAAACTTATAATTAATTGTTAATGCTTAAAATCAATTCAAAATTCTAATATTAATAACATTGTTAATTTTAAACCAGTGCCAATTTATTAACGGGAGAATGAAACAATCAAGATAACTTGAAGTGATTCTGGGACATATAAAAATAGTTGTAACAAAATCACTTGTTAAATGCAAGTCAGAATTCATCTTCACTATTAACTTTCATACAATAATTACATGGAAAAAATTTTAAATGTTACACCTTCAAAAACAGGATTCTCTCGAAGGCATGATACTTATTGGTCAGTATCTTGGATAACAAGATTCTGTCCAGTTCATGATACATCTTGTAAGTGTGTTGAATAATTACTATCATAATGACACCATAATATAACACATTACTGGTTAATGTACAACTCTTGCTTAACTATGGAGTAGCATCCAATAAAGTTGGTTGGTTCCACAACGAATTGTTCATGAAATGTACCCATCCGCTTGCTAGGAATATCAATTTCAAGATCCTTAAAGTTTGGCAAGCCCTCTACTTGAATGCCATCTCCACATATGAGGAACTGATTTCCAATTATAAAGGATCCTGATACCCTGATTGCAACTCTGTCTTCGCCGTCAGCCCGGCATTGAAGCCTCTCAACAACATGCACCAACTTTTCAGAAGGCCAGTCACCAACTAATGTAGTTCTAATACTTGATAGAGCTGTAAAGATATTACTTGGACCACAATGTTGTTCCCCAGAGAAACTACAAAATGTAAGAGATGATGTTAGTGAGTTTATAAAAAGTCCTCATCCATTCTACATATTCTAAACTGATTAACCATAATCTACTAAGTTTGACCAGGCCCTTAATATAATGCAACTTCCATAAATCAATAATATAAATTTATTTTTAGATACATACCAGAGCTAAATTAAGAACAAAAATAGCTGCCCATATGGCTGCAAGTATCTTTCAAGTGAGTTTTTATTTTCTACTTTTTTAGCATGTAAAAAGTGTAAACTGTTACAAATGACAAATTTTCTTGATGCAGACATAAAACATGCAAAACTGTACACACCTGAATATTGAGCTTTCGCTGTATAAGCTCTTTGTATGTTGCCACAAATCATCAGGTCCATCAAATAGCAAGTAATAATGTATTGTCAACATCTAGAGAGTAACAAAAATTATTGTAAGTACCAATTGAAATCTCTCTAAAACCTTGAAATTTTAATTTTTCTCATTGTGAAAAGAATGCTGGAACTAGTCATTTCATTTCGACAGAGTTTGATGGACGACTAAAAACATATAAAACCATTATGTAATGCCTAAAATAATTATTATAAGCTTTATCTCAGTCTCATTAAACCAACCTATGAAAAGTGAAGCTTCACAGCAAACAACATAATAAAATAATTGTGTTTTCTCAAATAATATAAAGTGGCAGCCACTTACATCTGCCAAGTCCTTCATTCTTTGTGTAGGATCAAAAACACTTCGAACAAATCCTGCTAAATCTACCTCGGCATTCTCATACTTTGTGATAAAGGGGTGCAAAAGCAGCTGCAGAAGGGAACACCAAATTATCAAGTTCAAACCATTATGTAATGAGGTATCTAACGACAAGATTGACTTTGTCAGTTGTATGTAGCGGTTGGAACCAATATGTTCCAGAGAAAACATGAAAACGATCAACTTTCTACCAGGAAAGAATGGAAATGATGAAAAGAAAGTAACCCAAAGGAAATAAATGCATGTACACCAAAATATTGGTGTTTTAAGTAGAGTGATAGACAAATCATTCGTCAGCCTGCCCTCATAAATAGCATACTACAGATGCTAGACACCATGCTCATATCATCATATTAAGGATTATCTCATTTCTCTCACCTGCTCTGCTGTTGGCCTGATATCTGGATCCTTCTGTAGGCAAGCATCAACAAAGGAGCAGAATTCAGGTGAAAACTTGTTTTTTGATGGTGATGGTGATGGGTCATCCAGGATCTGTCACAAAATTAAGTATAGTTATTTGCAAAGAGAAGAAGTACTAGTGTGCAATCAGATTACAGAAATGGAATAGCCATTCATGGGTATCCACTAATTTACCATGTACAGGAAAAGAACTTGGCATTTATAAATGCAAAATTGGAAGAAGTTATTTTGAGAAGTTTGGATGCTTTACAATACATATCATATGAATTATCTCAATTTTCTTAAATTTATGGCATTGTAAGAGTTCTAAATTAGATATTTTTTATGTTTTCTTGTTTGACAAGTGACATGAAAAAGACATGCAAAATAAAATGGTCAGCAAGGATGTTCTTCTCAAACAACATGCATATTCAAACAAACAAAAGGAAACAAATAATATCAATAAGCCACATTACCTGCAACATAAGATTTACAGGACCTTCATTAGCCGTGTATGGGAATTCCCCTGTCCCACACTCAAGAAGAGCAAGACCAAGGCTCCAAATATCAGCAGGATAAGAATAGTTTTCATTTCGAATTCTCTCAGGTGACATATATGTAACAGTTCCAACAAATGTAGCACACTGCAAAGTAGAAAGTTTTTATGAACACGAACTACTCAGAATGGTTGTAATAATGACAAAACAATAAAGTTTACATTTGCAAACAATTTTACAGAAGCAATAAGTGACAACAAACTAAGACTGATATAATTTACTAACCATTGCCACTGAATTCTCTAAGCCAGCACTAATGCCAAAATCAGTAATTTTTGGCTCCCCCTTGAGATTTACAAGTAGATTGGCAGGCTTTATGTCTCTGTGTACTAGATGTCTGACTCCATGCAGATAGCTTAGACCCTTCCAAAATATAAAAGGCCAAGTAGCATATTTTAGTGTTTTCTGAAATTAAGAATTCAAAATGAAAATATAAGTTTATTTTCCTTACATGTAGGAGTTTCTGAAACATGGATGATAGAATAGGCTCAGGTATCCTTCTATGCATTCGCAAGATATCTGCAAGTGATCCTCCATCCATGTACTCCAAAGCTATGCTTATCTGTCCAGAGTCTGGGGTGTAAAATGCCCCATGAAATTCTACAAGACCCTGATAACAAGGTGCTTCACATAATGTCCTTATCTCAGTAAGGAGCTGCTGCCTTTTCTCCTAATTGGCACAAAGAAGCGCAGCCATTAGGCAACATGTGATTATTTGGCCTTTTAAATTTTTGGGAATGTTGAAGGGGCACTAGAGTTTGATATCATTAATTATTGCCACATTGCTCTTTTATCCATTTAAAGGCAGACATTACCAACAAAAAATCACCCAATAAAGTGTCTAGAACCTCCAAATAAAAACAAGACAGATCAAAGAGTGCATTACCCACCATCAACCATATACCACATTTTAACACCCAGGTAACATCTCATGTGGTGGGTACTACAGTTCATGCTTTAGCATCAATCATAATTAGGACTATAAAGAATTAAAAGCAACATGAAAAGGCACAGTCCTATACCAAATAAGAATCAAATTAAAATTTTACACGATGAATTATGGCAAAATGCAACAAGAATTAAGGGCAGGGGGGAATACCTTCTCAAAGATGTTGATCTTCTTCAGTGCTAGAATTCTATGAGTTGGTATATGAATAGCTCTCTGCACAACACTACTGGCACCACTACCAATTGCTCCAAATATTCTCATCTCGTGGGAAGCACACCTATACGTTTTCTCACTGTGATCAGTTTCATCCACAGACCGAGAAGTGCACTTCTGCAACCCAAGCTCATTGATGTTGTAAACACCATATGATCTACTCAACAAGTTCACAGTTCCACCATCTGATAGCTTCTCAATTGAATAAACCAAAACACCCAAAAATTCAAAAACATCAATCATCTTAAACAAAACCATTCACACCCATTTCATCATTATCAAGTGTACTAGCATGTTTGAAACCGCATTTAAACACGCTTTAATAAAATCACGTTAACGTAGAACCTACAATTAGTAGCGTTGGAATAAACGTTTATCTATTACCAATCAAATTTGAATCCAAACATATACTACAATGCCTAAAAGCCCAAATTCACACTGAAGAGTAGGGAGAGAGAGAGAGAGGCTTACTGTGTAAGAATCACAAGGGTCCAAGGTTGAACTTGATGAAAACCCCTTGTCAGCATCAAACAAAGGTGCAAGCTTTTTTCGCAATTCCTCCAACCCAGACATTGTTACGAGTATTCACATAAAAAAATCGAATGTTGTCTCAAAAAGAAACGAACCCAATGTGCCTCTGTTCTTTTTCCGCTTATGAATCTAAGGCGAAAAACAAAAAGAAGAAAAGGGAACTCAATTTCAAGTTTGCACATGCAATTGAAGGTTTTTGCGCGTGTTATTAGGGTGAAAAGGAAAAGGGAAAAGAGAGTTCGTGAGATTCAAGGTAGTATTTCGGAGAATAGCAAAGCGATGTTGGCAAAGTCGTGGATTTCTGTCTCCAACACAAAATCGAATATTTGATATTGAAGGTCGTTAGTTATTCATATTATGAGTATTTTCTTTCTTTTATCTTTCTAATTCTAAATTTAAATGCATGTTTAATATACCATTTTCCACCACCAACCTGTAGTCGCTGATACAGTGTAATATAATAAGATAAAAATATAATAGATTTTAGTCTTATTTTATAAATGATATATATTAAAATAATAAATATAAATATATTATATTATAGTATATATTTATAATTTAGTCTTTTTAATAAAATAATATATAATAGAGTAAGATAGAATAAGTTTATAATTTTTTTTAATCATATTTTGTCGGTTAAATAAATATTACCGTATTTTCTTATTCAACGAACTTGTTCTAAATCTTTTACTTTGTTAATTTAAATTTTAGAATAACTAAAATCTGATGCTCTATAAAATATATAAATTTTTTTTATCCTTTCATTTTGAAAATATATTTGAAAAATGAAGGAAAAAGTTAAAATTGTCTATGAAAAGTATACACAAACATTATCTATATGTATATTTTGAATAGTTTTGTCAATCGAACGAGTCTTAATTTGTTTTAAAGACTAGTACAATAATTTTCAACTAATCCTTAAATAAAAATTTAAATTTTGGGATGTAACCTTTTTTTATAATTTTTAATATGTTATGAAACCTCTTATATGATCTATATACATATTCTTTTATTATGTCGTAAATAAATTTATCACTTAAGTTAAATTAATAAAAAAAATTAGTTTTTTTTTTTTTTTTTTGCCTTGAGGGTGCAAAGGCACATGTATTACTTTGTTTGGATCTTACATTTGGGCTAAGAGCTAAATTAGCCAACTTCATAAGAGAGGTTTGGAACTACTTGTGAGTTATCCATGACAATCTCTTTTTAAATCCCCCTTCCTCCTTTTTTGGAATTTTAATCCTAAAAATTCTTCCAAAAATTTATATTTAGAAGGGATTTATAATTTTTTTCAATTAAATTTTTTATTGAATATGTTAAAGTTGCTTTCAAAAAATAAATTCTGTAAATAATTTTAAATTATTTTTGAAATTTAATTTCGGAAGTAAAAAGAAAAAGTTATGAGTGGTGCAAATAAAAAAAAAATGGGGGATGTGAGAAAAATTGGCCCTTAGGTTATGATAGATTATAGGACTTTGTTTAGGTTTTTTTTTTAAGTGATTTATGATATTATTTGAAAAATAATCAGTAGTAATTAGGGAGATGAACCCTCCACAACAAGGCATATTGAAGCTTAACATTAATGCAAACTGTTCTAATGGTAGAAATTTTAAGGAATCATAGTGGGTATATCATCTTTATATATATATATATAAAATTCAAGACTTTAGTTATCTATATCGGTAGATTTCAATTTTTACATTCACCTCTAAAAGTATGTAGTAAAACATATTAAATATTTCTTAACTATCGCATATAAAGTAAAACCCATTATCATGTTGAAAGAGGAAAATTCCTAAGTCACTATAGAGTGCATGCTAAGAAGGTATTGGTTATGGAGCATTACAAATATTTTATTATTTTTTATTCAGTAAATAAATTTAATTTAAAACAGTGCAAGTGACACATTAATCCTTATAATTCACTTCAATTAGATCAAAGGCCCCTCACCCAATCCAAAAAGACCTAACTTTGTGATCACTTTCAAGAAATATTATGGATCCAAAGCATCATCTCTAAAAGCAACATACCATTTATACGTAACTAGATAAATCAAAGAACAATAACCCAAATTATGCACCAAGCCTATTTTACACAACCCCCCCTCCCCCTGATTTAATACCTGAAATAGACCACATATATCCTATTAAGTGATTCCAATTACTTTAACAAATTTAATATTAAATATTTTTTTTAATATAATAAATACTTCAGTCAATATAAACAGAAAATATTTTTATTTTCTTTATTAATAACTTAGGACTTGTTTAGGGTGTGAAAAATGTTTTAAGTGTTTTTTAAATATGATTTTAAAATAAAATATGTTCAACTAACAAAAATTTGAATTAATATTTAACTAAATTTCAAAACAGTTTTACCTCAATTTAAAAAAGTTTCATTTTAAAATTTAAGTTAAAAAAATTATTTAACTATTATTTCTCTTAAAAAGTATATAATTATCGTAATTATTAGTAGTATTCCACAATCCTCACAATAAAAATTATTTTTGTTTAATTATAATTTTTGTTATTATCACTATTATTTCCATAGTTACTATTATCATTATTACTACTGCTATTATTGCATTTATCAATATTATTGTTATAATTTCTGTTATTACCTTCTTTCTTTCCTTTTCTATTTTTTTTTTCACTGCTAACGAACTTAAATTTTAACAAATAATAGTTTATGTGATTTAAAATTAACATTTAATATCATAATTTAAGAGAAAAAAAATTAAAACACACAAAACTATAAAATTAACAACTGATTTTAATTAAAATAAAAACTGAAAACAGTACATAATAGACCTTACACAACAGGGCCTTTATTAGATAATATTTGTCAATTCTTCTATAGTAAAGCGAACCACAAAATCTTTGTTTGCAAAATCCTGACAAGCACGCATGCAGGAAGAATAATGAAAGAGGGTATTCCACACTGTTAAATATTATAGCTTTCGAGAATGATAATCGATAGTGGTGGACTTTACTTCACAGATAAATGGGCATTGATTATTTGATGAATCATATACTATTGATTGCTTATGACGAAGCTCTCCATTTCTTGATGCCCATTCATGGCATGGCGGCAAAAGATGAACAACCAAACATATATAGGAGATGGTGTATGATAGATTACAAAAGTAGATTCATGTATCTTATTTAAGGATCTAAAAAAGATGATCAAGAGTTTAATAATTTAAGCTTAAATTCAGCAATCATATTACACCGACACGCTTTAACTAACTTAGATATAACAATGACAATAGTAATTAATAAACAAAAGCATTAATTAAATGGTTGAGGGCTTAATCACAACATGGGTGCGAATTTAATAATATCGAAGAATAATGATTGTTATTTGAGTATGTTCAAGTGGTCAGCTCACAAATCCATGATCCAATTTCTAAAACCATATTTCTTCTCTCTGTGATTGGAGAACATTTCTACCTTTTTGGCCTTTCGGCAGTGTCAAGTCGTATTAATTACGGTCCCTTTCAAACCCCTCTAACAGGAAAGAATGAAAAAGGGGAGAAAGGATCAAAGAAAATTATTATGGATACTTTTTTTACGTCGTGTTATGGTTAAGCATATATTGTAATAAAGTACAACGCATATTATGATTATTATGGCACTTATAAGCACATCAAGCCACTCCTGTGCCTATAAGTTTCTTGGTTGGTTTTGCTAGTGAATAGTTTTCAAGAGTATGGAGCAGGTAGACATTGATTATTTGTTAAATTATGTATAATGATAATCTACCACCCTATTAAATTTGGACTATTAACTAAAGGTTGTGAAGTATTATTATTATTAGGGCTTGCGTACGTATAATATTATCAAATAATGGGTGAATTTACTTGCTTCAATGTCGGTAAAGTGATATATATCCTTTATAATTTTAGTATGGACTATATGCAAGGGAATAAAAAAGTAATGTATTCATATTTAATTTGATTCAATTTATTTTCTAAAAAAATATTATTATTTCTCTACGATTGATCTTATTCAAACATTAGTTAAATCTCCCTCTGCAAATTTCTGAAACATGAACTTTTTTTGTGAATGTATAATCTTAAATATGGTTTTTCTTGCATGTGAAGTAACCTTAAACATTTATCTCGAGTTTCATTTCAATATTACAGAGAATTTTAAGTGTCACTAATAAAATTGCAAATAAAATGTGAATGAAAAATTTTCACATAAAAAATAAAGAAAAGTGCTAAATTAGTGTCTTGAGAGTATGACATTGGTTTAAGAAATAAAAATAAAAATATTTTATTGAAAGACACAAAAATTTACTCACCATCATATTTTTTTAATACATTTTAACGTGTGATTTAATAAAAAAAGATTAATTAACTATCCTTAAATAAGAATATATAAACTTACTATAAATTTTAGGTTGAGACTTAGTGTTAAGTTTACAAATATAATTTCTTAGAAGTTTAAACTTTAAACTTTAACCTACTTATTGAGTTTTCATAACAACGGTATATATATATTGTTTCTTTTAATTTGTATACTAAAACATACTCAATAAGAATATATGTATGTTATGTATTTTTTATTAAAAATCATAAAATATTACATGATCAAATATAATAATAAATACTATAATTTTTAATCATTTTTTTTATTATGTATATATCCATAGATACCCATTAAAAAAAATCGACAATAGTAACAATAACAGAAGGGATTGTGATTTGGAATAAAACTCCCAAAGTCTATTCCAAGAATTTCAGTTCTGAACTCATACGAGAAAACATAAATTGGCTATCAGCAATATTGTTTATGATATTTGGCTACGTTGAGGAATCTGTTTGCTGATAGATGAAGTGATGAACAAGTGATAATCAATAATGAAAGCTAAACAGTCATTTTATTTTCTATGAGCTATCAATAATTGAGGACAACAGTATATAAACAATTTCAGAGTCGACAGAGATTTCCATGAGATATCTTGGAATATCTTTATAGAAATGAATCCTTAAATGTGTGCCCTACAAAAAAGAAGGACGGCAAAGGGGAAGAACCTAATTTAGTATGTACCATCTCATAAAATAGTTAAAAGTCGATAATATTCTCCCACCATTATTTTGGCTTGTCATGTTTGTTTGGATATCCATCAGTCAATGTTATGGATGCAATGAAGAACTATGGCTTCACGTTTTGCACAGTACAAATATATGTACCATGGGAAAGTTAACGACTCTATATCATATTATGTATATCTATATTATGTATATCTAATAGCTAGCTTAGTAATTAATGTGTGTTTAATCATAAAATATTGAGTATATCCTTTTATTCTTATATACATTAATTACTAAATTAATGTTTTAA